TTGAGTGTTTCATTATACCTACGCTAAATACAAGGTTGTTTTTACGATTTTGATTATATTGCAATTGTCCCCACGAAACTTCTTTTAACACACTTTGAAATCATTGTTTTTTCCCTTTGTTTGGCGGACATAACATCGTAAGGTTTTGTGTCAGAAATTTCAATACATCGATCAATATCTTAAAATCAGTTTTTTTTCCATTGAATAGTAGCAAAGACTTAATTAATGAACCAGTGTTCTGTAATATCGATATCTAAAGGTTATGACAGTGAAATTTTAAAATTCCTTTATGAAAGATTCCTTTCTTAATTTTCCTTAGCTTCTTAAGTAAGATTATAGAACTTAATATACTTTCACTGCCCATTTCTGCTAATGCAAATTAGATAAAATTAAATTTAGATAAGAATGCAAAATTAGATGTAATTAGATGGTTGCAAAATAAAGTATCTTGTTTGCAGTAGTGAAATAAATTCATCTAAAATAAAATTTTATTTCGAATAAAGTTTCTTGGTGTGTCTTAAAAATACACGACATTTCGATTACAATAGTTTCCACTATATTTATAAAATTTTTCACTAAATTAATTGAATTCGGTTAAATAATTCTGGATTCCGTTAAAAAAATTCTAGATTCTAAATTCTGTTAAAATAATTCATATTTAAATTCTTTATAAAATGAAGTAACTTGCATTTTTGAACGCAAATTAAAATAAGTTTAGCACAGGTAAGATTTTTAACTTCCTTCATATATTCTTACCTATGCAACGTAATATTTTATTTTTATTTTGTAATGTTATCGCTTAAATAATTAATGTATCGCTTTAAAAATTTAATACAATAATTATGGTCTCTTAATTTTTCAAGTAAAAAATACTTTTGAATGCTTGGTTTTCCTAATGTTATAAGGTATTATCCCGCCTTCTTAGCGAGTCTTCGTGGTGTAGTGGTCTGCACGCTCAGCGCGTAATTGAGAGGTCCACAGTTCGATTCCCGGCAAAGGCGCTACTAATTTTTCATCTTGCCTGCTTCCAAAAATACCTAATGTCTCTACAGTGGCGCCGGAACTAAAAGGGTGTTGGATGATGATTCTCCTGAACCAGGATTTGGCGATTGGGTCCCTTAAAAACCCTAGTGTCCCTTTAAAAGAGGGAGTATATAAGGTATTTCTTCCGCGTTCTTAGCGAGCCTTCATGGTATAGTGGTTCTGCACGCTCAGCGCGTAATTGAGAGGTCCGCAGTTCGATTCCCGCGGAGGTGTTGATAATATTTCATCTTGCCTGCTTCCAAAAATACCTAATATCTCTACAATGTGTAAAATGAATACAAGCCATTTTCTCTTAAAAAATCCTCCACTAAGGCATCTCTCTTTTTAGGCAGCTTGCCCTTGTGTGTTTTGCCATATTCAAATAATCTAATCTAAACTAAGAAATATTTTATCTAACTAAATCTCTTAATAAATAAATTTGGTTACTTTAGGAACACAGTTTAAATATTTTATATGTAAAATCATTATATACTTTACAGGAAGAAAAGAATTGACGTAAGAGACTTTAGAAATAAACTAAGAAATTTACATAAAGTAAGCATGCATATTTGTGAAAATAATTTTGAATAACAGCAGAACACGATGTGAAGTAGTACTTCAGTAAGATGTACAATATAAATTAATTTTTCACATTATCTTTTAATATTAAAACAAGAGAAGGTGAATTACAATTATCAATTTGACTCCTTAAAATAACAATTTTAAGCAGCGAGACAAAAATGACAGCAAACGTTTACTGATGCCCTTGCTTCCACACTCTTGTTAATACAAATAAAACTGAATCGATTGTCAATTCATTATCATAATTAACACTAATTCCCACCAATATACAATAAATAGCACTTAGCTGAAAATTTAGCAATGACAAGATGTTCAGCTAACAGAAAGAACTTTAAAAAAAAAAAAAAAAAAAGTCGTCCAGATGAGAGAAAAAAAAAAAAAAGCTATACTAAACCTTTTAGTCAGTCTCGTAATAACACTAAACACGATAGGAAATATATGCATTTAATCCAGAATATAGTTCCCCGATTTCTTAGTATCACACTGAGTAAAAACACACTATAAATTATCAATATTTTTAATTAAAAAAAAACTAAAACCGCAAGATATTAGCGCACAAATTATTTTGAAAAGCATATTGAATCATTTAACAATCAATTGGGGGGGGGGGTATTAGAGCGCAGGATAATTAAGTAACGGGGGCTTGAGCAGTGTCAGCATGCACGGATGCATTCCATTAAAGAAGAATTATGTAAGCAGGGTCATGAAAGGTCAGTGGGGGATGAGAATATTTTTATAGTCACATTAAATGTTTGATATGATATGTACGTGACGTCCTCGCGACATTCACATCACAAAGTGACGCTGTATCGTGGTCTCTTGACATCGAAACATTATGTGACCAAAATGTAGCTTTGGGACACCACTGTTATGTCACAGCAATGATGTGGGCTGTGTGAGTTAACACCAATAGGAAATGCAGCAGTACATGAGATTCGTATGCCCTTGAAGATACTAATATTTGGGATTGAGCCTTGGGATTTGATCCTAACTTTCCCGCGACAAACTGTGGTATTTGAATTGATTTTTACTGGGAGCAGTTTTGACTTGCTCTCCAAATCGGTACAAAACTTTGATTGCACTAATCTTGTCAAGAGACTGGAGTTAGCAAAATTTACAGCAAATTTACTGTAACAGTATATTACTGTTCATAATACCATATTAGTGAGAGCTTTTGGTATAATTAGCTGCCTTTTTAATTTAATTTTAAATATGATAAAAACGTTAATTGAATTTGTAAATAGTGTTCTAGTTTCTGTATGTTGTAGTTAGGATCCTTTAATTGTAATTTGGCTATATGCGTCAGTAAGGCCTCAATAAATATTGCTGGTGTGTACAGGTTCGTAATAGATTGAATGCACACAAAACCGATAAGAGCTTGATAAAATTTATTTTCCTAAAACAATTATTTCAGAGTTTTGAAAGCTTCCACAAAAACACTCGTACAGCTCTTCGCAGTATCACAGAGTATAATCGGTAGTTATGCAAACGACTACGAACGTTCTACAGAACGCAAAGAAAAGCGCTTTTGAAAGGCGAGGCTCTCACGATTTCAGCACTTCGAAGACAGCTTTGAACAAACAACTGAGAGCAAATGCTCTCTCTGGTCTTACATAGCTTTCACCCGGTGGGTCAAGAAAACTTTAGGGCTTTCCATGTCTCGAAATTACTAAAAGACATATATGCTTAAAATTCCACAATAGCTGGATATGGTTAGAGTTACATATACGGATCAATTACTTATACAGGGCCGGACAAAACGTCGCCAAGTTGGCAGCTTTTAAGATTTTTCGCCACATTTGGCGACACAAATTAGTCCCCCAAACCATCGCCAACTTGGCGATATCCCGCCAATTTAGTCAAGGCCGTAGCTAAGCTATTGGCTGCCCGCGTACTTTCCTGGAATTGCCGCAGCTAGGCCACTGGCTTCTCGCTTACATTCCTAGAACTGCTGCCCCCAAAATTAAAAAATTGCTCAATGATTAATAAAATTTTTATTTTATATTCACTGCATACTTACATATGACAAATTGTGTAAAAGTACTTACATATAACAAGTACTTACAACGAATTTAAAATATTCAGTCGTGATATCCCGAGAGTCCGGCCGCCCGCGTACTTTTATGCGCTGCACTCAGGAATGACCCTGAATTTAGTTAGACTTTGAGGCTGTAAAAAATTCGAAGCCTAGCCTTTGATTTTCAGGCAGAGTTAGAGGATATTCGCTCTCAGGAAAGCGGCGAGATGGTAGGTCTCACCTTGGGAATCTCATTCATTTGCATCCGCCACTCTAGAAAACTGAGTCTTGTACACTAGCCAAGAGGTCTTATCATCATACGTGTGATAGTTTTACAGAGAGACGAGACAACATGGCTAGGAATATAAAAGCGTCAGAATTGTTTTCTGTTGCAATTATGGATTTCTTTAAGCTGTCAACTTCCTTGGCGATTGCACAAACTCAGTAATCAGTTTGTTGTAGACATCAGAAATTCTTTCTTCGATACTCAATAGTACTGTCTCTAACTTAATAGTTGGATAAGTTTACAAAAGATAGAACTTGAGAATTTAATTTTAAAAAAAGACTGTTCGTAATATCAGTTCATTTAATTTATACTTTTCATATAATTTATACATAAAGTTGTGATTCATCCTCACTGTATAATTAAATTACAAATATATTTGACAAATCTTAAATTATTTTGAGTGCCCAACAGCGGCCGAGCGGTAAAGTCGCTGAACACTGGTAGTTCGGTTCGAGGTTCAAATCCCACGAACGGGCTGGCTGCATGGGTGTTTTCGTGGTTTTCCCCATGTATAACGTGTATACGAGCCAGTTTCCCTTAGAAAGTCCTCCATGAAGGCATCCCTTCTCTTAGGCAGATAGTCCTTGAGGATTTTCCGTAATTGAATAACCAAACCTTAAATTATTTGAAACGATTAGTAACAATATGGCAAATTTCTAAAATGTTCTGAAATATTAACAAACATGTCATTTATACACTATTTATATTAGTCTCCATTTTCTAGTTAAATATTATTTAATAAGTTTTAGCAAGACAAATAGCAAGACATTTTTTTTTTTAAGGAAGATATTAGACTTTGCCATAGATAAAAGCAACAGTTTCTAAAAATCCCTATATACGGCCATTTTGCTATGTTGAAATCATGATATTATGAAGATTTCTATCAGGTGGTATAAAACAGTGCACAACTTATAATTTTCCAATAAGATCTCCATCAACCAAGTGGTAAAATTGCTAAACACTGGGAGTTTGACCTGGGTTTTCAGACAAAGAAGCTGACTGCTTTACTATAATTACATAAATGGAACTATTATCTTCCAATATGACAACACTTTTGCATATCCTAAATGATCATAACTGAATAATAAAAACTTTTAACAAAATGATTGATTTTTATCACACATTTTATAAAACAGACATTTCGTATTTCAGAAGTACAAAAATATCTTTTGACATATGCAAGCAAAATTAAATGCAAGCTGTTTTAAAGGTATCTTTTATTCATGAATTTATTCACTCATTAATTTAGAAATAATGCATGTGAATATATTTGTGCCTTTGTAGAAAAAGAGCAATGACCAAAATGTTGAATTTATGAAGAATACTGCATTTGTGTTAAAATCATAATTTTGCCAATTTTACTCCCCTATTAAATTCTAATCTAGACCGATTTACAAGAAACTAATATGATATGTGCATATAAATGAAATATTATTTTTAGTGGTGTGTGCTTTATATTAATCAAATACATACCTTTTCAGCCGCCCAACCGGTATAGTGGTTAATGCCGCTGACTGCCGTGCTGAAGTTCCCACGTTTGAATTCTGGAGAAGGCATGGATGTTTGTAAATGTGTCTGTGCGGCATGAGGGCACTCTAAATATAGGGCGAGCTGAAAGTTCTCTCTAGAAGTTGGTTTTAGGGAAAGAGGGGTGGGAGACCCTCAGACCCACCGGCGTGCTGTGCATCAAAATTGGGAGTGGAACTAAGCTAAATCGCATTGCCACCTGTAAGGTGCTCAAAGCTGTTACCAGCAACAGGCGTAAACTTTCGCGTCTTGCCACGAGGAATTTTGTCGGCTTGGGCTGACTATAAGTCAGACAAGTGAGCATTAGCAACAACATACCTTTTTAAGTATCGATGAGAAATGAAGCCTTGGAAAAAAATTTGTTTTGATTGCATACACCCCAGATGATTCAAAAAACTTGCTGAAACTAAGGCAGCAATTTCTTCAAAATGGACATTGGCCCTTTTTTTACTAAGGTTCATATGCTTTCTCCAAACTGTATGAACACATGTGACAAAAATTCAAAAAACTTAGCAGATATAAAGACTTTTCTATGTTTAAAAAATATTACTCATTATTACAAAAATATAATGTAGTTTTTGTATGAAAAATTTCATTAAACATTATTAAAAATACTGTGTAGTGAAAATTTTTAATTCTACGTATGACTAGTATTAAAATCTTCAAATTAAAAATACCTACGGCAGTAATGGCAAATTACAAACATGCATGCCAATTTTGATACATGACAGTTCTCTTATATTTGTATCATTCATTATATGTACAATTTATTTTTAAAACTGTTATTATGTTTGACTTTATTTTTTAATATACATAATCTTCTGAAAAGATTTTATTAATTTGCATAAAGATTTTTAGTCTTAGCATGATATGTTTGTTGTGATACAGTTCATTGGTCTCATTAAAAAACAGCTTCATGTAACAGCCAAAAGTTTTTCAGATATCAAAACTATAAAACTTTCAGATGTAAAAATTATAAAACCTTCATAATTATTGTAATCATGATAATTATGAAGAATTTTAAAGATTCTAATGAATCATTTCTGATCTTTATGCTATCAGAAATGATTCATTGGTGCAGTAAGTTATATGAAAGAACTTCTGAAATCATGTGACATATTTCAGATAACTACAGTTAGAAAATTCTTACATATTTATAGACGCTAATGCTCATCTACATGTTCAAGCTGCATGCAACTCAAATCTGACAGAGACAGCACATCTAGTGTATAAGGAGCTACTGCCTCCCAGTTGTGCCCCGTGTTTATTTTACTGGAATCTCAGTTTTCGTGCTTTTGGTAGAGGTTCAAAACTCAGTATCTTCTCCTTGGATTCATGGGTATCAAGAGGCTGTGCTGCATGGCATGGAGTTGTACAAAACCCATTTAAACCTCTTTAGTTACTGTGTGTTGTCTGCTTCATATACATAATCTTCTATATACATACATATACATAATCTTCATATACATAATCTTCTGAAAAGAATTTAGCAAGTACCAGAATTCAGAACATCCAATGAAGAAGTTAAATGCTGAAGGGCTTTTCATTGATTTTAAATAGAAAAAGAAGTTAAAAATGGATTGTTAGCCTCTTCTTCCCCTTCATTTTTTGCTGTTTTCTTTAGAAGGATAACTTGTTTTTGTTATTGAATAAGCATTTTTAAAATTAAAGAATTTTCTTTCTTAGCATTTTTATAAATATAATGATATGAGCTCAGTCAAGATAATAATATAAGCTCAAGCAATGCTTATTCCAACTAACTTTTCACAGAGATATGAGAAGTATAAGATTTTTTAAAAAAGATGCCAAGGTACAGATACTGAGGAAGTTTTACACTTTTGAATTTCCTAAAGCACTGACAATGTTCAATGATGAGCAGGCATCCTAGGCACAAGCAAACAATACAGTTTACAGGAAGGTCACCTGCTATGCCTGAAGCGGCCTATACATGTGCTTTGGTTACAACTATTTATAGGGTTCATATAGTTACTTAATCTTTCATTCTTTTTGAAAAGAAATATAATTTGCCCCTGACAAGTTGTTAAGTATGCTCAATTAAAAAAAAAAAAATACATGATTTTTAATGTGTTAATTTTTCTTCCCTTTTTTGATCATGATAACCCTTAATACTGTCATACAGTATATTAAATCTTCTAATTCATCAAATATTTACATATAACACTAAAGGTTTGCAAGTCCTACTTTAATTTTGTTTCATTTAAAGTAGAACTATTTTTTCAGGAATTCTAAATTATTCTAATTATTAAGAATTTTAGCCCTTAGAAATAGTCTGATGAATTTCTAAATAAAATTTCAAAAATAAAAAAAAAAAAAATTAAGCATTAAATTTAACATTTTTTTATATTTACATATATCTTTAGAAAAAAATGCGATATTTTATTTCTTATTAGAATATGTCTCAAATAGAATAACTTTAAATAACTAAGCATCCGTTCAAAACAGCAATTACCATGAACATACAGAAATAAATTACATATAGAAAATATGGCACAAAACGAGTTTACAAATTTAACAATGTAAACATAAATGATAAGATAATTTTGTTATTTAATAAATATTGTTAAAATGAGTTCCAAAATGTTCATTACAGACTTTCACATTTCAGATAAAATTAAAATAACAAAGTACATATTGAATTATTTAAGATATCAATGTTTTAACAATATAATGAAAGATTACAAAAATGTTTGAATTTCATTCCAGATAAACAATAACATTACATCAGTTATCACAAAAGTGAAATACAACAAATTTGTAGCTGGAGACCTGATAAGGAAAATATATAAAAGAGTTAAAATTTATTGAGATTTTTTTATTTATTAGGTTATTTTTTATTATTAGGTTTTACTCTTACTTGAGGGGAAAAAAGTGGCTTATTAGAAAAAACTTTTTCGATTTCTGAAATTTTAGAATAGCCTTGAAAATCTATATTTACAATTAAAAAACTGGCTAGCATTTTGAAAAATAGAAAATTATTTCAACTAATTGAGTTAAAGAATGAGAATTATTAAAAAATTATAAATAAATGTAATTATTATTAAATAATTGCAAAAGAATTTTTTTGCTCATACAATAAGAAAACAGTCATAATTTTGTAGCTGTATTCAATGGCTTCTCATATAAAAACTAAATTTTTAAAAAGCTGATACAATTTTATGTAATAAATATCCATATAACTTTAAATATATACTCCAGTTTGGAGCAATAACATTTTATATTTATACAAATACAAAATATTACACATATTAGATTTATTTCTGTATGTAGAACTACATTTCCTCTAAAATGCTTATAAAATATTCTCTCTAGAACACTGTGCACTTTTCTAAGGTAAAGTATAGATGGATTATTTCGATGAAACACAAAATTAAATCAAAAAGCAAGTTAAACTTTTATTATGAATTTATTGATGTCTTGATGCAATTTAATTGAAGCAATTACATACAAAATATGCATACAAAATCAGGGCAATCTACCTTATTTTGTAGCTTGTTTATGTACTGGATGGACTTCTAAATTTCAAAGACATTGACTCATTATAAAATTCAATTATCACAGTAATCATAGCAGTCAATATGTAATTAAAAGTTCAGATATTTACACCATTTCTTGGAGAGGAGATTTCCTCCAAAACACTAATCAAAGCTATTACAAATTTAAAACTATGAAAGTAAAATTTTAAAATACTGTATTCACTAAATGACAAAATCCATTTATAAACTTTCATTTTCGCAAAATGATGCATTTTGAAATTTTCCTTAAATCACAAATGTTATATGCAAAAATTTCATTAATAATTTTCTTATTTTTTAATTAAAAGAAATTTTTTTATTGCTTATTCTTTTATTTAATAAATGAGAATGTTCTAGAGGTAAGTAAAATATAATGATTAATCATAATTTGTTTCAGTTAATTTTGAACATGCTCATACAAATATATGACAATCTGCCATACATTTAGAATTGTTCACGATACGCCTAAATTATTCAACCCCATAAATGAAGGGCGAAATAAAAGTCGTTGGTTTGTTGTAGTGAGGAAAAATCTCCTCTGATCATACTGCTATAAGATATTTTCTATGGCGTTTGCTGATATTCACAGAAATAAATGCTAAGATCCATATTTGTTTGCAGCCCAGTGATCAAGAAACACTATTTTCCTATTTTATAGAATTTCAATGTTAATAATAATAGTATACATACTTAATGCATGAATAAGAAACAAAAAATCCCTTATTCTTAAAAATAAGGCCACTAAAAAGGTCACAAATTATATAATTGTAATTATTTAATAAATTATAACTTTTGTAGTTAATTATAATGATAAATAATCACACAATAATATTAATATAGTAATTATTCATTATACTACAATAATAATTAATTAGGGGGAGGAACTACTCCATATCGCTTGATGCAATCTCATTGAAATGAAAATTTGATGAAAGCTTGAAAACCTAGTAAAACCTGGGTTACAGACTTTGAACTAGAGCCGAAATCATGATCAATTCAGTAAAGTCCATTCTCCTCAAGATCCCCAAAATTTCAATCATGCACAATCACAAATGAAGTAAATAACGATTTACACCTAGCATTACTAAACAATCATTATAAAAGGTAGAATTACAGGTGAAAAAATTTTATTTGAGCATATTTTTGTGAGTGATTGCAAGCATTACACAAAACATGCATAGAAACTCTCTGAATTGCTAGGAATGGCCATGGGTAAGTTGTGATAAATTTGCTGACCAAATGCTGTGTGTCAGAATATACATATTCAATAGACCTCAAATACTTCCCAATCTGAAATAACCAGAGTATGGACTGCATTTTTTCTGCCTATAAGAGTTTCCATTCTCGAGTTTCCTCACTATCTGAAGCCGGAAGAAAACAGTACTGTACACACCAGAATAGCAAAGTTTCTCAGACACATAGATTGTGGCTAAGCAAAAGAACTACAAAGAAGGTTTGTGGTAAGAAAGTGCTAAAATAAAATACAGCACAAGAATAATAAAAAAAGAGTGCACTAGTTTTAAATCATTTTAGCATTATTCTTTTGTCTACTTCAATGACCAATACCTGTTCCAACATGATCATTATTGTAACTTGCAGAAATTGAATTTTTGTCAGTTCATCTGTTAGTATGACGATTAGCATAGAATAGACAGTTTGAAATCAATTAAATTATTAAACACATAATGTAATATAAGAAATTAAGCTACTAGTTGATAAAGAGCCATATCATCACAACATTTCTGTTTCAGAAATAAAATTACTGTCTGTTGCATGCGTGTTATATTTAAGTGACTATAGAACCTCATGTAGCTCATGAGCAGACGTGAAAGGTCTTGACAGCTGCAGTCTTTGCGATTCCCATTATATAGAAATATTAAATTTTGATGATTTTTTTTCCACTAATACATACTTAAATAAATAAATGTGCAAAATTGAACACTATGTAACAAAACAGTTAATTACAAATGAAGGTCTCCATAATCAACATATTAGATGACTAAAAAGTAACACTGTGCCTCCTTAGTTCTTGCTCTTTATCTGAAGGACAATATAAATAGTGAAAAACTGAGAATAGAAAAAAAAAAAAAAATCCCTTATGCATATCTTTTCTTATATCCATCCACCTTACTTCAAAAATACACTGGTTTAGATTGTGCATGCATATTTGTGCTCATGGTTGCACCTAAAATGGTCAAACAAGGTACAGGATATCATAACACCTCAACATTAACATTTACAGAAAAATAAGAAAAAATATTTTTCAGCCCTTTATTTCAAATTTTATTAGAAAATGAAGAAGATAGTGCATATACCTTCACACACACACAAATATATATAATATATGAAATAATATGCATGTTGAAGACAGATGTTGATAGAATAGTTATTAACAATGACAGCCAGTTCATTAAAAACTCGATGCTGTCATGGCAGATAGAACACTTCTTATTCTTGATAAATCATTTTTAAAAGAAACATAGATAAACTGATGCAGTAAGTGCACCTGTTCTTCGGGAACTGCACAGATACTGAAATACATTTGAAGACAGACCACTGAGCAGCAAGCACTAGCAAAGTAGCAGCAGCAAAGTGAAATAGCAAACGCCGATACTTCCAAGATAAAAGCTGGGTTCACAAAAATTTGGTTTTGGTTACATCTAATTCCACTGGTTAATAAAACGTTTTGGTTTTCACATGAAAATCATTATTGGCTGAAGCCTGTATAGAAATACCTATGTCATTATCATTATGTAAGAATCATATGACATGAATTAATTTTGAAACAGCTTAGGGAGATTTATCATAAGCAATTACTATTTTTAGTACTATATACAATTTTTAGTACTATATTTTAGTACTATATATTATTTATATACTTTTTATCTCATTTATGTGAAGGCAGTCTGTGATAATTATTATCTCAATACACATGACTATAGCAAAACATTTTACATATAATTATAAATGCTCACCTAAGTATGCTTAATCAGCATACTTATTACAAAAATACATTCTCACACACTGCACATTTACAATTCAGGTTCTGCAGAATGGCACATCAAAATTTCTCTTCAGTCTCTTACAATTAATTAAATTTATATATTACAGTACTGAAGAGGTTTATGTTTGAATGAATAACTCTCTCTCCTTTACTACACAATGAGAAAAAATAGAGGATTGTATCACAGAAGATTATGTATGATACACAGTAAAAAAAAAACTAAATAAATTATTGACTACTTAAATCTATTAACTAATCAACAAAATATACATGCTTTCAAGAATCATACTTCAAAAAGTTTAAACCTCACATCAAAAATAGACATTTACATAGGCCACAGTATTTGTGCATTAAATAGAAAATAAATGGGATGGAGAAGTTGAGGAAGCAAAGTTTATATGACAAAAATTATTTAAAAAATGTACTCTATCTAGAACTTTTTTTTTTAAGGATATCCTTTTAAAGGGGGTTGATTTTATATAATTTCTTTAAAAAATTTTGCTAAGAAGATTTTAAATTAGAGAATACTTTTCTAATATCCAAAAAAAAAAAAAAAAAAAAAAATCTTTGTGTTAAAAATATATAAAGGATATTTAAATGAAAGCATACCAAAGATTGTGATTAGTGCTACCTTTAGTTTAGCATTTCTCATTGTAGCAGAAAAACTTTACAACATTATAAAAATAATTCTTCTTATTCTTAAACAGCAAAACAGTAACAAAAGTTAAAGCACGTGCATTATGCTTACTTGCTTATGCTCGTTTCCCTTTTAATAAAACATATCAAAGTTCTTTTCCAGTTCAATAAGAGATAACTGTAAATGTGATGTTATAATTCATCTCATATGCATAAGCATAGTCATTGGATTTTCCAGATATGACTTCCACAAATTTGAAAAACGACACATTGTGGCTCCATCTATCACTCTGTGATCAGCTGTCCAACTGATTTGCATGATATGCTTCTTAACTAGTCTGTCTTCTTTATCAAACCTAGGAAGAGCCTAAAAGATACAGAATTGAATTTGTATTTATATACAAACATAAATATTCACAGCTATACCATGTAAATAGAAAAGCAAGGAACAAATTCACTCATGGACATTTTTAACACCAAAGCCTGTTTCAGATGAACTATAGAACATTTAAACATGCAAATATGGATATATAGGATTTCCATTAGCCTTTTATGCAGCTTAGTAACTTTTAAATGAAGAGTTGTAAAATTGTAAAAGCAGTGTTTTTACGAAAGAAAAAAAAAAAAAAAAGAAACTACGCAAAATCAATTCAAAACATTCATAATGGCTTCATTGACAAAAAAAATCATAATTTTTATCTCAATAGCAAATCAAAATAGTAAATAATTTTTTAGTTACAAAATTTCAGTGTTCTTTATTTAGTACAGAAAAATGTGTTTGTGGGGCAAAAGGAAGGTTATAATTGCAATATAACCCTATTTATTTGAATTAAGCTGGACAAATGGATTTAGAGTAAAATTTTTTTTCCCCAAATAACATATGTTAGTTATTATTTTTACTGTCATATTAATGTTAGTATTTTTAAATAATTAAACACATTTTTTTAAAGCATTTCTGTTAACTGCATTTTGAATCACAAATTATACATAAAAATGAAGAAACTAGGATAAAAATTTGAACAATTTTGCACTAGATGTGTAACATGTAGTATTAAAAAATCTTTCATTAATCACAGCAAAATTGCAGATGGTCACAAAAAGCGTCAGTTCGTTATATTATAAATCAAATGCATTTGAATTTATATGAATTAAGTATATTATTAAAAATTTAAATACAGATATATATAATTTTAAAGTGTTTTATTACTTAAATTATTAGACACATTAATTTATGATAAATTAATTCAATATAAAATTACAGATATTTGCTGATTGGCAACACTATGAAAATCTGCTAAATGGGAGGATGCCTAGAATATTAATGAAAGTATTATGTTTCATGAAAAAACAAATTCCAAGTATTGCATCATTGTTCCTGTTTTACTCGTCCATCAGTTTCCAAAGAAGGCTCAAGTGTGCAATTTTTCTGGGGAGGGGGGTTGGATTTTATGAGTTAAATGAAAATAACACACCTTTTTTTCCAAACACATTTATGGGATTAGTAATATTTTTTATTAACTGTACTAATACTATAAATGTTCAAAAAAATTTCAACATGGATATATCAAAATACTTTATATCAGTCAGAAGCATAATTAAAAAATAAGTGCATTTAATGTTTTCACTCAGACTGTGAAGCAGTAGTGGCCAGTTAAAGTCAAAAAAACAGTTTAAATATATTACTTTTGGCCATATAACAGCTAAAAATGGAGCTAAAAAATTGGCTACTGGAAGGCTCATGCAAAGGTTCACATTACATTTTATGCAATCATAATATTTGAGAAGTCACAAAAATGTAATGTAAGATAGGATTATGGAACAAAATATAAAAATAAACAAATTTTGAAGAGAAGACTACTCATCATTCCTAACATTGAAATTGAAATTTTTGAATAATTCATTCTTAGAATTCATGGAATAGATAAAAATTTTCATAGAATTTAATTACAAGTATCCATTAAAAAAAAAGAAAGAAAAGAAAATACCTGAATTTTACCAATAGCACCAATAGCAACTTCAGGAAGAAGAATAACTGGTTTTGCATATGTTCCACCAATCTGAAATTAAATTAATTAACAATCAGTTACATAACATTTTACAGATAAAAAGAATTACACCAATAAAAACAGAGCTTCAGCATATTTCAAATTAAAATAATATAAAACAATATAGATATGTATCTTCACTAAACAACCATATTAAAGTTTTAAAACACTAGAATGATTACATTAAAAGCTTCAAAAGTTTCATTTTTAAAATCTATTTCCTTCAATCAAATTAATTTCATATATGCTTTATATTTTCATTAATTTCCAGTTTGGTGTTCAATAACTTTGTGGAATGATTTTAATTATGAATTTTATATCTTGCTAATCATTGTTCCTCCTTTTTAATTACATTAAATTATTACTGAATCTTTTTTCTACAAGTCTCTTCAGAAGGGTGGTGGTAGGAAGACAGTTAGCAGGTCCACTGATTCCATCCATCAGGTATTTTAGATCAACGCTATGATGAAACTGGGCAGAAGTTATACTGTCTGTACTGGTACTCAAGGTTTATAGCTAATGAGACATGTACTACCTGAGCTGTATATTGCTTTCATCTTATATCTTTTATAATGTTAAATATTAAAACCATTTTTATCCAAGAACTGTAAATTAAAATGCAAATTTAAAATTAAAATTACATTGATAACATTTTACAAATTGTTGAACGCAGGTTGGTAAATAAATATACAGGGTGGCTCCAAAACATTGACCTCAGCTTTTATTCCTTAAATATGATCATAGATATATAATATAAATAACAAAGCTATGTAAAAAAAGGTACAGAATTTTATGAAATCAATTAAATTTTTCAGGGAATTAAATTTAAAGAAATACAAAACTTCCATTTATATATGGCCCCCATACAGAAAAATTTACAATTAGCAAAATGTGCCCCATACACCAATAAGTTCGTGTATAAAATTTCAGCATTTTATCATAAAAACAGGCAGAGATATGTTTAAACAAAGTTGGTAAGGGGGTTGATCATAAATTAAAATGTAAATGCTTACAGTTAGATTGCAGGAGATGGAAATCTCTGCGGCTTTTTGTGATAAAATTCTGAAATTTTGTAGATGACCTCATTAGTGTATGGGCCACATTTTGCTAAATGAGAATTTTTCTGTACTAGGCAATATAAAAATGCAAATTTTGCATTGTTTTAAATTTAATTCCTTAAAAATTTTAATTGATTTTATAAAATTCTGTATCTTTTTTACATAACTTTGTAATTGTATTATATGTCTACAATCACATTTAAGGAATAAAAGCAGAGGTCAATGTTTTGGAGCACCCCATATCTATAAATAATAAATAAATTTATTGTTTTGAATCACTAAAAAGCTATTTTTTTAATTATACAATTAAGTTTCCTCAATAAATTTATCAATAAGAAAATTTAAAGTAATTAACAGAGATAGTTAATACATAATCCATACAAATATACTAAAATTTTATACTTACAGCACCAATATTAGAGAGAGAAAATGTGCCTCCAGTCACATCACTCTGTCCTAAAGCTTCTCTGCGTCCCAAATCTTGAAGCCTGTTTAATTCTGATGCAATTTGTAAAATAGTGAGGTTCTGTACATTTTTTATGTTTGGTACTATAAGACCTGCACTTGTATCCATTGCTATACCTATATTATGTGAAGCCTTTAGAGAAAATAAAGCATATTTTAACTGATGAATAGAAATAAAAATGCAATTATATATCAGTAAAACATATAACTATTACAAAAAAAAATATTATTTATTCTCCCCCCTGAGGGGGGAAAAGATCTATAATAGAGGAATAACTGTTAAATGTTAACATAAAAATAATTACAAGCAAATTAATATCAAATTATTTTTTCACACACTTCAAATACTGTACTTCATCTAATACACATCAAAGGCATTGTGAACATAAGTCTTTTGTATTTATATGTACACATGATGTTTTCAAATTGCTAATGATATTTACAACGTAAGTTTTGTAGTTAACAAAGAATTTCTGTTAGATTTATTTTATTACATATTCTTACATTTTTTATTCATTTATTAAAAATATTTAATCAAGTAAAAGATATGAAATGAACTGCTGACTTGCATGAAAAGAAGTGTAAACTGGCATTTTAACTATTTTAATCTGTTAATTCCATTTTAAAGTTTCTGGGGAAGGGGAAGCTCTATTTAGTGATGACCAGAAAGATGTAATTCTGCCATTATGCTTTACATCCCTGTTTTCTGATAATGAGTTTAAAAACAACAATAGCCATTTCCAAATAAAGCCTGATTTATTATACTGCCAAATATATAATAGGTTCTTGCAATTGTGATTGATGTATAAATAAAAGTTTTTCAATGGAGTGAAAAAGCATAGCTGCCAAATTTTAACTTTGAAATAAGATTAACCAGATAGTTTTCACACAGTATGGTGATGCAACTTCAGAAGGACACCAAACTGGCAAATTTGATGTAAGTTTCCTCTATAATGCATCATTCATTATACAGTTGTGTGCGAAAGTTTAAGACCACATGTGGAAAAATCAGATTTATTGGAATTCCGCTACAAAAACATATGTAATAAATGAAAAAAGATTTACAAGATTATTGAAGTATAGTCAGTATTTTGTCGAACCTCCTTTTTTTTTATCAGTGCTGCAATTCTTTTAGGTATCTATGAACAAGAGACTGGCAGTACGCTTGAGAAATCTGTGTACACCACACATGCTTTATTTCTTCAATAAGTTCTGTAGCACTGGATGACAGCTTCTCCGCGACTTTATTTTTCACAATACACCAGAGATTCTCTATGGGATTCAAATCTGGGCTGTTACCTGGACAATTAAGAACTTGGATTTTAGTAGCTCTCAGATTGTCCTTGACATTCCTTGCCCTGTGATATGGAGCCCCACTATGCATTAAAATTGAACATCCAAGTAAAGCTTCAATTTGTCATGTAATAAATTAAGGTAACGACTATCATTCCTCATGGTTTTAGGTGGCAGGAAATATACAGCAGCAGTACCAGACACAGACATTGCACCCCATATCATCTGGTTTGGAGGGTGTTTCAATGTCGGAATCATATATCTGTCATCATATCTTTTTCCAAATGGGAAGCGAATACATTTAGCATATGCTGAAATTTGCTGCACACTTGACTCATCGAAAAATAACACTGTATTCCACTGTTGTTCGGTCCAATTCTGATACTGTCTGATATTGTTAGTCATTCCTTTTTCATACTTTGAGTAAGTCGAGGTTTCCTTGCAGGTTTATAGGAAAATAAGCCATAATCTATAGTCAAACATCTTGAAATAGTACTTGAACTAACGTTGGTACTGTTTGCAGCCAGAGCAGCCCTAATTTTATTGCAGGAGGTTGCTGGACATTGAGTGATCATCCTTCTTATCACACGATCATCACGTGCACAAGTTTTTCTTGGGCCACCGCTTCTCTTAAGATCTGTATAATTTCCTGAAATTTTAAATTTACTGATAGGTTGATGCATGCCTGTCTTGCTGACATTTACCTTCAAACATATTTCTCATTCAGAAAAGCCAACTTCATGCAGGGCCACTATTTTTGGCAGTTTTTCAACAAGAAGGATTTTTTAACCATTACAAGAATTATACAACAGCACTGTGTATGCCAAATCCAATAACGATCTACTGATAAATGAGACCACATTATATTTATAACAGCAGAAAGCATTTGATGCAATCAAAGCATGAGATAACGCAATCATGAGTGAAAATTGTGCAATCTGTAAAAATACAGGAAAACAGCTACTGGTCTTAAACTTTTGCACGTAACTGTACATAATTAATAAATAAGAATCAAAATTAAAAACAGAGCCAAATAATAAAATTTTATATTGCTAAAAATTCTCGAATAAAAGAAAGGCTTTTATTTATTAGACAGTTAGTAAACATGACAAAAATAAAATGAATAATTAATAAGCACATTACTGAATGAATAAACTATAACTTAACTGTACAATACAATACAATGTACAATACAATTTAAAAATTTTAAGCAAAATTAAGTACTAAGATTTACCAGTTAAATCATTATAAAATGGCTTACAAATATCCTTATAATATATAAAAGCACATGAAATCAAATACAAATTAATTATGCTAAAAATCACTTGAAGAAAAAAGTTTAATTTTAAGTTGTATTAAAAAATCACACCATTTTTTCCCCCTAGAGCTTATTATAAAATTTTTTTCATACCTTTCTTTTAGTTCTGACTTTCAAAGATCAATAATCTTTCTAACATTACATTTGAAACAGATAATCTAAATTCAGAATAAATTCAAACTGGAAGATTTGAAGATTTACTGGGAGTTCAGAAAATGAGATGAGTCTCAAGTTTTATCAAGAAGGTTGGTAGATCTTGCATATCCTATAACATATCTTAAAACCATCACATATCCTATAACAACTTTGAAAAGTGCCAGCCAATGCTGATTATTATAACACATGAAAAGCATGCATTTTGTTGCACAATATAAATATTATTCTTTTGAAATAAATTCTTGTTTATTTATAAAGTGTGACCATTTAATTCTCTGTTTACAATTATCCTAATAATGTTACTATGTACTAAATGATATGAGCATGTCCGACTTTGAATATCATGAAGATTTCTTAAGACATAACTCTACAAGCACAGAAAGCTAATTTAAATCGATAAGAACAACTAACCATCTTGATAAGAAAATGCTATTTTGGGTTTTAAATACTTCACCAATCAAGTGACTATTTTGTTATTTAAAATTTTTATTTTTGGACTCTAGCTTTTTTCTGAAACCAGTAAATCAAACATGGTTAAACTTCAAATGTTAAATGGCCTTTTTTCTGAAACCAGTAAATCAAACATGGTTAAACTTCAAATGTTAAATGGCATTCAACTTACATTTTTTGTGCTTTAATTTTAAGACAGGATTATTTAATTTAGACAGCATACAAATTTTAGCTAAGTTTCATCTCAGTTTTGAATGATGGCCTCTTCCAATACTATCAGTTTATGAGAGTTTTACTTTGAATTCCAAGTTATCATGATGGAGATTTGATATATGCACTCATACACATTTCTGATCATTTTAGTTTGCTACAAATTAACACCTAACTTAAATTTTGATTTTATGTACGAATCTTACAAATGATCTTTTGGTCATTTATAAATGACAGAAAATATATTAACAATAGTATAAAACATTATTTGCCATTTGATACATGTAAATTTAATTATGTATCATTTATTTAAAAAAAAAATTATGTGAACAATTCAGAGCATTCAGATGGCAAAGAAATGCAAGTTCAAATATTCAATAAATCAGAGTTTTTCATATATTTTTTACTCATGGTTCAATTAACCTGTAGTAAATTAATTATATTTCCCCTTTTTTCCATCTCTAATGTTAAAAATCAAATGTACAAATTTTTCTCTGTTACTTATTTTCATATTCCATGATCTCCAAAATGCATCAAAATTTTAAAAATCTTATGCAACATGAATAACTAATCAAATAATTTATTCAAATGTAGATATAAAGATCATTAACACACAGTTTTGTAGAATTCTGAATTAAATCAGACAAATTAGGAAGAGTGAACATGTTTTTTGTTAGATTTTACTTGTTCGTATACGTTTGGGGAAAATGACAAAAAGATTTAAATACAGATAAAATATCAAAAAGCTATTCTTACTCTACTAGTCTGCATGCATACAACATTGTAAAAGGAATTAAAGCTTAGAAAGCTTTGCTAGCTATTTTAAAACAATTCTGTTTCACTAATATTGAGAAATGTGGCAGAAAAGATGACAAAATTAGATTTCAAGATAACAACTATCAATAATTTGTTCTGTAGTTATGATTTATGAAGACTTTCTGATACTGCATACTCAGATTTTATTGAAAATAATTATCAAAATGAAGAATGGAATGGAATTTGATAAACGATTAAAATGCAAAAATATCTATGCTTCCTTCAAGTAAATCTCTTATACCTCTCTATTCATTTCTCCTTTATACAATAGAAATTTATATCTTGAAACTTATGACCTCTAGAAACTTATATTTTATTTAATAACTGTAAAATGTGGGTCTGGTTAATTTGTAAACAAATTTAATAAAGCTTGCTTAAAAACAATACACTGATATGTAAGCTCCTAAATAAATGCTTTATATTTCTATTTGAAACATCACTGCATAAAACCTTTTTTTATTATGTGAAGCCATTTCTACACTGGTGTGCAAAAATTAAGGACAAGGCACATAAGTTAGCATTAAAGTGGAACAACTCAACAGAACAGACCAAAAGACCAATCAGGAGATAGACTTGGGACCAGCACAATAAGGCATGCACATATATGGCAGAGGATTTTGGGGAGGAGTGTCAGAAGGATAATTGCACATGAGCAGTGTATGCTTAAGAATATAGTGAACACTATTGCATGATGTTGAGTACAGTGATTTCAATGATGTTGAGTTGCTACTACTGTGTGAATATCCAACAGGCAATATAAAAGGCATCATCAGAAAGATTTTATATTTTGCCATTGGGAAGCTGGAAAAAGATCAAAGTGTGACAAGTGTAGCAAAAGAGTTGGAATAGCTTACAGCATTGTTTCATGGGCCTAGAGGGCAATTCAAATGCTAAGAACAGCTGTTAGAGCATTCAAACAGTGGTAATCCATGAACAACAATGGCGGTGGACAACCAATATATTGTTCTAGTGGCAAAAAGAGACAATCAGTAGAAAGCGGACGCTATTGCAAGGCACATGCAACAGAAAACTGAATGTCCAATATCACATTTTAACATGTCCAGGAGGCAACACAAAGATAGTCTACGATCATGATAACCAGTACAGCATGAGCCAATAATGCCTGCTCATCACAGAAACTGATTTCTGTGGAGCCTGGAACATAAAAATGTACATAACAGGAGTGTGGTCAAATGCTCTTTATGGATGACAGCCAATTTAGTCTGATGAGTGATTATAGACAAAACACATACGGAGAGAAAAGGGAAATGCAGTCATCCCTTCAACATCACCAAGAGGGATTGTTTTGGAGGTGCTGAAGTTCTCATTTGAAGTGGTATCATGCTTGGTAGCCATTTGGATTTTCACATCTCCCAAGGAGGTTCAATCACTGGTATTCAATGTTGTACTGAGGTTCTCTTCCCTCATGGTGCATATGTTTAGAGGTGTAGGTCCAGCATCCTCTTCATCATACGTAGCTATACCAGAGCTCTTGCAGCATAAAGATATTCAATGCATAGATTCACTTGCAAAATTCCTGGACCTAAATCCCATAGAATATGTGTAGGACCTTCTCAGGAAACATTTGGCAGCACTTGGTTAGCCACCAACAACAATTCTGCAGCTGAAATTGGTGCTACAAGAATAAGCTGTAATGTTTTAACAGCTTCTTGACAACCTTGTTCTCAGCACTGACAGACAATGTAATCTCAGTACCACCACAGTCAGGGGTGATCATATCCCATTCTAAAGACTGGATTTTTCTTGCCAGGTGCCTATCACATGGACGTATCTGTCTTCTCTCCAGCTGCGCTCAGAACTCTAACTTTGTTTTTTCATCACAATGGGTTTCAATTAATATTCAGATAAAAAATAATTATTGGAGAAATGCTTAGTAACATTTAAAAAAAAGTAAATAATGATTAAAATATGGAACAAAAGGTCACTGATGTATAGAATCTCACACACACACACAAACAAAAATTTCTATTATAACAAATACTTTTTCAGAAAAGAATTATCTTTCATGGGTATTCAATCCAAAAGAAATATTCATACTTTGTAGATAATGTTCTCGCATTTCTCATCTACCGAAGAATTCAAGACAGGATATTCTGATAATGATAAAGATAGGGCCTGTAAAAAATATTCCAAATTAAAAATTTTGAAAATTCCATAGGCATAGTAATAATAATTATATTCAAAAAGAAAAAGTTAAAAAATAACTATTAAGCAACAGAATGAGATAAATTAGTTTACTCATTACAACTAAACACAGGGATGGGAGAAGAGAAAACTCTTTTACAGATAGATTGTTTGTAAAAAATTTGAAAAGCTTAGGGAAAAACAATAGCTTAGGGAGAAAGCAATTTGATTCTTCTGTACTTTTCTGCTGGAAAAACATAACCTGTGAAACAGGGGAAACAATGCAAATGTGCATCATAATTCGACATACATTACAAACATAAAACTTTGATATAAATAATACAGATCATTAATGGCAACATTAATTTCTAGTTAAAAGGTCATTTTACATCATGATATGCTGTATGTGAAAAATGGGTATTTCATGAATGGTATGATAAAAACATGAATTGCCCTAATAAGCTTCTTGATTTTCATTCAAGTTTCAGCCTAATGAATCATATGTGAAGTATGTATTGGAAGAATAACAAGAAAATATATAGTGTTCAAGGGTTTACAATCTTACTCCTTTATATGCATCATGACACGAGGTGAGGTCCAATTTCAAGGTTATTTTATAAAATTCTTGCCTCAATGGATCAATAGTTTCCACAACACACAGAGATGCTACAGTTTACAAGATAAGTGGTGATACGATTTTCCTTATTGATACACATTATTTTCTTAAAGGTGATAAATAAAGTGCTTAAGGACCATATAATTAAGGTTAGATTAAGTTATTTGAAGATGGCAAAGCATATGAGCACAATCAAGGAAAAGGATGCCTTCATGAAGGACTTTCTAAGGGAAACTGGGTTGTATTCATTACATGAGGAAAACCACAAAAAATAGCTATGCAGACAGCCCATTCATTCTCTTGTGCTCAAACGCAGGTCAAATGATATGTGTTCAGTGCCAATTGCTCAAAATTAGATCTTAAATTAACAATATTTGCAAATGGAGCTAGGAAGCATTGGATTTGGGGTGTTTGGCATAAAATGCTATTTAGCAGAGATGCCTGATACCTAATGAACTCAATCTAAAAAAGAAGAAGGACAACATTTGCAACTTATGCTACCTTGCCACTATTGGGTTAACACACATAATACACACACACACCAAAACAAAACAAAACAAAAAAAAAGTTAAATTAAAGGTTGCATTATAATTTGATCATTAACATTATATATGGAGTTACAAAAGGTTAGATATCTTAATCTATGCTTAGAAAGTTACTAAACAGCTTAATCTGTGTAATTTTATAAGTAAACAATTACATCAGAATTTGCTTTACTAGAGTTAATTTAAGAAAGAAAATAGGATTAATTTAAGTAAAAACGATTCCTAAAAATTAAAATGAGAGTAATTTTATTTATAAAATATAATTTATAAATGTGTCACATTTATAAATGCAAATATGTTATTAAACTTAATACCAACAGCAGGAAATCCACAAGCTGTTTAATATAATACTTTTATGAGTATTAATAAGTTTTATTGGCAATAAATAAGTTTTATTGGTATTATTAAAGTGGCATGCTTGATTAAAAAAATTAAATTGTTTATTTCAAGTTTCTTTTACTGCAGAATACAGTGAAAGAAACGAATATGAAAGTTTCCTTACTTTGATAAAAAATGGCATATATGAAAATTTTATATTTCTTTCTTCTGCTATAGTTTTTAGAGATTCTCTCATGAGCACTAAATCTGTGACATCTATTTCATCACAGTAACAAAAACTTGGTACAGAAAGAGATCTGGTCATAGTTTTAACCATGGTCTTTTTATATCCTTTAATGAGTTCAGTTTTATCTTTAAGAATTGGCACTTGAGTTTCTACAATTTTCTTTGCGGATTCTTTGGGAACTGGTTTGGGAGGAGCAACCTGGTGTGGTTCTGAAAATCCAAAAGAAATATTTACAATTATATATATTTATAATATTGTCAGTCTTACTGTAAAAAATTGGAGATAAAAAAAAATCCCTTTTCTTTATTAAGATATCACAAACAGGACATAGCAATATATAACCTCTTACAAAAATAGTATATGTAAGCAGGTATATTAGCATGCGCAAGTACTTTTCACATGGCTAAAGGACATTGAGAAACTATTTTGTTTTTTATGAATTCTGAATTTATTAATTTTTTTTAAAATATACAATACATTGTACAACAATGTGGTTTTAGTTTCCATATTACAAGATTACTTCTAAAAGTTCAGATTAGTTATTTTTATTCATTTTTATTGGTGCTTCCCAAAACGTATTACAGTCAAAAGTCATTAATTTGGACACCCATAATCCGGAATGATCTATAATACGGACCTCAAAGCTAAAATCTTTCTGCACATGCGCCGCGTTGACGCATGCGCATAGGCGTTTTACGCGTGCGCGCAAGACATTTATGACTGCGCATATGCGTCTGTGCAAGCGCAGAATACATTTTCGCGTGCTCGTTTAATGTATAATGGATGGTATAAGCTAAAATTATCTAATTATCTATTTCAGTTAATGTTGATGATTGCGTTGTTCCTTAATCTTCAAACTGGATCCGGCTTATTATTTTTTGCAGACTGTAAGAGCAATTTTATATAAGCTTGAACTTTCGATTATGTCAAATAGAATTTCCGATGCTGGAGCTCCCAAAGGATCTAGAAAACGAAAGTATGTTTCGATGTCCATCAAACAAAAAACAAATTGCTACAAAAAATGGATAAAGGTATATCCTTTGTTTATCTAACCGTTCCGAAATCTGTTTATCAATTTCACGCTGCTCTGCGGCGGGGTAGGGGGGAAATGCCGTGGCACGCAATGAATTTGAAGTTGATCTGTCAGCACTATCATTATCTTCAGGGCAGATGTTTTTATTTTATTCGGCTTATAATTCCTTACTAAATGTAGTATTTAATCTCGATGTACTGTCTTTGATATGATTTAAATCAAATTCCTTGTCATTATAAATATCACGAATACAAATCAAATAGTTTTCTGGTTGCAATTTTCTAATTTCGGCTATGCGTAAGGGATGCTTTACGCATGCGTGCGTTGAAAGAAATGTTTATTAAAGTAAACAAATAAATATTAGGCTTCTTTTTTTGTAAATTTTGATACCCTTTAGATCATAATTGTTCATTATTTTATAAATTATGGTTTCATATTTTTAATTTTATAATTTCTGCATGCTCTCTTACCATATTTAAACTGATGATCTATAATCCGGAAAAATCGATAATCCGGAATTGCCGAAGTCCCGACGAGTCCGGATTAAAGACTTTTGACTGTACTATCTCAATTCATCCAGATAATAACAGAAGTAAAGCATTTTAGATAAAACATATAAATAGTATGTGTGCCACTTTTCTACATATACATAGAATCTCATGTATTTATGTACAGGCATAGGTCAATAATGGAGAAAAAATTTAAATTTCCTAGTAGCTTTAACTGAATATCGTAAATAGGTTGAAATAGCAAAGAAAAATGTAAAATGTTACATTTCAATATTCACCTTTAAAAGGAGCATTTGCCTGCTTTAATTTAAGTTGTTCTAAGTATGCATATATATCTTCCTTCAGAATACGACCATCTTTTCCACTTCCTTTCACTTCACTCAGTTTTACCTAAAACAATAAACACATTCACTTCTGATAAAGAAACATGGAAATGATGGGAAAGCAAAACATTCTGTGTATTACATTCCAAGGTGGAAAATGTTATATTTAATTTCTTTGTGCAAATAAATCTTAATTTGAGATGCATAAAAACACACTGAAGTAAGATATAAGGAAGCCATTTATGATTATAAAATAAATAAATGGAAGCATATTGTAAATATACACTTTTCAAAATTATTTTTGATTCATAACTATCTCTTATGATTATACCTTCAGATAAATAAATGTTGGCTGATTTCTACTAAGATATAATTCTAGACTTTTAGATGAGTGAAGTAATAAACAAAGTGGTTGTGTTATGAAGAGATAAAATGAAATTATAGTTTCTTCTTTTTACATTCTTGATGAAGCAAAAAAGAAAGGTGCAACGAAGGACACTTAATTTCTTCTCCAATTCAGGTAATCAGATCTCCACCAATAATTAAGATAATCCAAAATCTCTTTCTTCAATACTAGATAATTACCAAGTTCCACATTTCTCACATGAACCTCAACCAAGTGCCTCTCTTGGCACTGCATTCAGTGCCACAGTTGAATAACATATATGCAGAAGTGCTTTAAAAGCAGCAGTCTGAGAATAAATATGGTTATAAATAATAACTTTATAACTTTTTATCAACTTAATCAATATTTATATATTTATATAATAGAGTTTAAATAAAAACAATATATTTTTAGACAACTATGCTGTAAGCAAAGTAAACTACTTTGCTACACTAAAGAATCCAAACATATAAAAAATATAATTAAAAAAACATACCTAGCATAGAAAATTATCTTTAGAAAATTAGAAAAAATATCTTATTATTGTTCTTATTAGAATATTAGAAAATCCTTTTAAGGCAGTTTAAGTTTATTTTTCAAGATTTTTCTTACATCTTAATAAGAAACTTACAGTCCAATTTAGCCTGATAAAGATTTTAACATGCAGATGGCATATATTCTATAAATATCAAATTCATAATTTACAGTTGGAAAATGTTACAATTTAACTAGAATATAACATCACACAGATCTCTCAAATCTTAGACAAAGATAAATTATTCTTGAAAAATATTTAGCATTTAATCATTGCTGAAAAAACTGATATATACTTACATTGTGCTCACTAGCAATTCGCCTAACTGCCGGTGTAGTGAGAACTTTATTTGAAATAATTGAAAAGTCAGCTTCGGAACCAGCTGGAGCAGCTAGTTGATCTTGAACTTGATCGACTTGCTCTTCAGAACTGGCTGGTAAAATAAAAATTTAAAAAGATAATATTTCTATTTTACTAATAAGAAATATGGAATAAGCTAAATGTATGAGTTCTATTTGGAAAATATTCCATTTTTAGCTAGGAAAAATACACTCATTTGAAGACCTGAAAATATAATCTTCTTTACAACTAATTTATTAGATATGCATATACTTCTCCTCCCTATCCTTGGAAAAGTGTATGTAATCCCTTTTCAAAATGAAATACTGTTCAAACAATACATTTAGCACAATATTTCCATGTAATTCAAATCTGATCTCTTTCAGTTTAATTTTAAAACTATGGATTAGCCAAAAATTACAAAGTGTCATGTTAGAAAAGTAAAACTTTTATAAGACTTTGCTCTCTCCTTAGCACATATTTTCATTGGTTAATTGGAAAGTTATGCAACTAGCAATTGGAAGGTCTGGAGTTTGAGTTTGGGTAATGGCATCGAAGATTTTTGTGTTTCCCAGCTTTGAAAAATATTACAATGTCTCTAGAAGTAATGTTTGAATTAAAAGGTGGTGGATGATATTTTATCACCACCACAATTCAGCAATTGGGTTACTCCTCCCCAGTCACCCTTTAAGTGGGAGAGAACATTAGGCTTTTCTCCCTCCTTCTTGGCTGCATCCATGGTGTAATTGGAAAGCATATCTGGCTAGCAATCAGAAGGTCCAGAATTCTGAGTCCTATCCAAAGTGTTGCAGATTCATGGTTCCTAACTTTGAAAAAGTTAAAATGTCTCTATACTTTGATAATTGGCAGAAATGCTGTGTCTGGCCATGAAAGCCCAAAATTGCATTCAAAGAATAGAAAGCCGCATTGTCTCGATAGAGCTTCCAAATTTCTACTACTCACAAACTAGTTTCTTTGCAAGAAAGGTATGAAGTGATGAAGAATTTCTAAATACTACCTTCTAATGCTTTGGCATTCTCATGCTTAATTGTAAAACACCACTGTTGGGAATCAAAGACAATAATAAACATGATTTTACTACACACTTATGCAATTTTTGGACTTAAAAAACGACTGTGTCTGTGATGACTGCAACTTGGTTTTTAGATCATAACTGCAAACTTACAATTCAATACCAGTTGTCATGGTATTTAAAAAGAGGAGTCTGTGCATCCAGCATAACCTACATGACTTCTGCATATGATTTGCTTTGCCTCCATCATCAGAAGCTTCAGCATAGATTTTTATAAATACCAAATTCTCTCTTAAAATGTAATGCAGCAAATCAACATTTATCCGTCTCTTGCTTGCTAGGTTTTGAACAAGGTTATGATAATCCTGAATGATCATTAATTAGCAACTTATCAATTTTGATTTGAACAAGCTCAAATTTGAAACAAGCTACCTTAACTATCATCATATTTTTACAGCACAGTAGAAAATATATATATATATATCAAAAGCAATTCAAAATATTATGCTACAGCATTTTATTCTAAAATTTATTTATTTTATTTGTAATCATAATACTTAAAATGAAAGGAAGTTGTTACACAGAACAAAAGTTCTGCTTATTGGAAGTTAATATTTTATTAAAAGATTAAATTTTAATACACTAAAGCAGTATTTTTCAATCACAATTAAATAATTTATGATTATCATTACCAAATCTGAGTTTATTGCTTGGAAATATAGGTGCTAGTGTTGGCAAAGCAAACTTAAGGCAACTTTTCTTTTAACTGCATTTCTCAATTCAAATGGAGTACTAGAATAAAATAATTTAGAATTTTTTTTTTTTAATGGAATGCCACTTAGAGTCTAACATAAAAGTTGGCATGAAATCTAACCAGATGGTGGCAACCCTAATGATACATAAAGTAAAGATAATAAAGCTTCATGAAAATAATAATTATTTTATGTATGATGAATATTATTACTCTTATTTTCTTCACCCCTTAGAATAAGGGCACTAATAAAGCTGGGGAAATACCCTCATTTGCGGTCAGGTCATAAATTTTTACAATCCCTTTTTTCAGGGGGAGAGCTGACAAGGAGCGGACAATCTCGCTAGGGATCTTGAGAAAATGCGGGGGTTGTTTAACATCTAACTTCTCTACTTTCAGTTTTATACACAGGAAAATACAAATTGAATTTTTTGAATGAATGCAATTTTGTACAATGAAAATGTATTACTTGACGATAAACTGTAAGATAAATAACATTTTTCTTTTAAAGCCATAGGTGTAGAAAGACAGATATTTGTTACACGAATGAATTTGTAGTAAATATTGAGTTTTTTCATTTTCGAATGCTATGTTCCATGTATGCGAAGTAGCTGAGTATGTGAGATAAATAGTCATAACCAAATGGCCTTCAACCTTTTCACGGTCTAAAGGACTTTTTTCTCAAATTACATTGTGGTTGCTGCTTTTTGGTTAATTTTCTAATGACATATAAACATTAAATTGTTTTTAATTTGAGACTTGTGAATAAAATAACACAAACTAGACTGCAGAAAATTCTTCAGAATAAAATAACACGAACTGAAAAATAGTTAAGTTAATACTGAAAAAATACATTATTGATGCACTTTGTGTTTTATATGTAGTAGTATTAACTACTACTATAATCCTTAAACGGAATCCTTAAATTATATATATCTATGTATAGGTATATATAAATGGAACCAAGTATAGAATAAGGTATAAAATATCTTTATTATACAATGTTCATTACCATACGTATATTTACGTAATATCAATATAAATAGTTAGTTAGGTTTCGTACATATATAATTTATTTTTATATTTTGTATTTTTTGTATGAGATTCAGTATTGTATACGTATCTGAAGTTTAATTTGTTCTCTTTTTGGGTTATGACTTTAAGTGAGAAAGAATTGTTAGGGCCTTCATAGGGATTACATTATATACAATCAGTTAGGATCCAACTTTTCCTTTCTTTTAATCATTATATATATTGAAATACTACTTAATGAGTATACATAAAATATAGCAGTTTTTAAGCTACTTATTTATATATCTATTGTTTCGTCTGGTTTGATTATAGCAAAGCATTCGACGGTTATTTGCCTAAGGGTAAGGGTGCCTCGTGGAGAACTTTCTAAGCAAAACTGACTCTTATGCACGTTACACATGGATAAAACCTCGAAAATGCCAATACAGCCATCCCCGTCGATCCGGATTCGAACCCCGGATCGACCTGCCAGAGTTCAACGACTTTACAGCTCAGCTGCTAGTGAGCCAACACACACACACATCCACACATATACATTAAATAATAAATAGTATTTACATGTCATTTATAAAGTATAATTGAGTGCAATTTAATCATAAAGAGTTAGAAAATATTCTACGGAATTTTCACTTCGTAGACTTTTTGTTAAGCTTCACCATATTTCTTAAAGAGAATTTCAATGCTAGTTCCATTTCCAAGCTGTTTATGTACCTTATTTTTTATGCTTTGAATTATATTTAGAAAATTATTTCACTTGTTATAGCTGAAAATGCAGTTTTTTTTATTGAAGAATTTAAGGGTAAGAAGAGAATTATGCCTTTTTCTAATTAATTATTCTTGAAGCATTTAAATTTTTTTAAAAACAAGTGGCACATTAATACGGATCACTGAACTAAAGTTGCTCGATACAAGACAGATTAATTAGCTACTAAATTTTAATATACATTGAGTAAAAATGAATTCATATGCATTCTATAAGAAAGCAAATATTCAAAAAATGTTTTTTTCCTATTCTCGCAGTCATAATATTTTTCTTAAAATATTCAGCTAATTCATATTCAAATATTCCAATCCATTATAATTTAAGTAATAAAATCGATACAGTACTAAATAAATAATTAAAATCAATTAAATGGAATTTTAATTGATTTGCCAGTATAATGTTAATTGCCATTTTCCCTCTGATAAACCCCCTCTTTATAGGGTTCTAACCTGAGTTCAAGTCAATTAGTCGATCAGTTGGGGGTTCATTTTTCTTTATGGTATACTTACGCTATATATATATGTATATATGCATGGCTATTGCTTGTACTTCGTCAATTGCAAGCTTTTAATATCACTTTTTGGAAAAAAATCAATATGGAGAATCCAGAAAATGATTTCTTAGTGACGCTAAAACTATTATTACTAGGCACTCTGTCATGCCACAGTGTTTAAAAAAAATCCCATTGTTTAAAGGTAGATTCTATGCTCATATTTTAGTCTAAAATTAAAAGCTGCGAGTCAAAATTAAGGGGGGTTGCTCTTAGAAAGCCTCAATTAGAAGTAGTTATAGGAAATGTTAATCAATACTTATAATCTTAAGGTATGTAAATATGAGCCCATTTTCCTTAGAAAATTCTCCATGAAATCATGCCTAGCCAACCCCCATATGTTTTGCCATATTCAACACAAAATCATTCTTAAGATGATTAATTAATTAATTTTTCTTTTCAAAAACTAGGATGCTTTCCGTAAACAATTAGTATTAATAAGCGCTGTTCAACTGGAATTGGGTTTGATTATTTGTTTATAGCAGTGCTTTTCAGCCGACTTACATGTACCTGTTTGTATTGCTCAGAGGGTGGTGGAAGGAAATTCCTATACGAAAACAATGTAATAATGAAATGTTAATAAACAAATAAATATAACTTTTCATATCTTATGTAATTTGTCTCCATTCTGATACCATGTGCATCATTTATTTCTGATATACTGATACTGAATGTGACCTAAAAACTCTTTTTTTAAAAAAAATATATCATTTCTTATGATCCCTGACACAGCCGTTTACTTTCTCCTTCCGTAATTAATGTCAGTCTCCTGCTCTCAACCGCATTTGCCAAGCCACCAAGCTGGGAACCATCTCATTTATTTCGCTCATAATTTGTTGGCTAAACCACATCTTTTGTCACTTCTTCGCCCCCCCCTTTTTTTACTCTAACTGCACAATCTTCCAGCTGACCCACATATAATTTTATTTGGACCACTGCCCTATTACAAGTTAATTAAGTACAAAAAGTATCAGTAAGAACTTATGTTAGAAGAACTATTTACAATGTCATTAACATTTTATATAGGTTCAACCTACTTCTGTCTTGATCAGGTTTTTGCCAATTACACTAATTTTCAGCCTCGACTATGACATCTTTGTTAATATGTGCCAATGATGGCTTTTATACCACTTGTACTGTAGCAGTTGCTGAACAACTGGTTTAGACTAAAGGTCCTGAAGTTGGGAAGCATGTATCTGATATAAAACTCATCTGTAAGAGAACAGTTGCAGATACAGTGATGTGCATCAGCTTTGCTGTCTTCTATTCCATATCTGCATTTGACCTGTTTAACCAAGAATCTGATGTGATTGGATAGGCCAGGAACTTTCTACGATCCGTACTTGCTTGAAGGAAGTGATGGTTGAATTTTTGTGTTGGCTTCTGGGGAAATTCGGAAGGTGTATCTCCCTGTTTCCTCTTCTTGCCATTCTGCTAACATTGTTTTCCTAATGCTCTCCTTCGATACTTCTAAGAATAGTAGATTGGCATCTACTTATGGTTTTGCTATTCCCAATTTAGCAAGTAGCTCTCTTATTTCTCATTGCACCTGTGTGCCCCTCGACCCAGTAAGGTTTGATTGGATGGCTACAACTAGTGGCTATGATAATTTCTTTCAGTGTTTCAATATGAGGCCTCATTTAATGAGTGACTGTAAGATACTTATGCTATCTATAAAAACGCTTGTTCTATGTCAGCCCATAGCATTGCTTTGCGAGAGGCAAAGGATTTCACTTAGAAAACAATAGCGTAATTGATGAATCTGTAGTACTCACTGTATACTTCATCAATATCTTTGAGCATGACAAATGCTGCATCTACTCAATCCTCCATCTCAAATTCATCTGTAAAGATTTTACACTTCGTACCTTGTCTTCATCCAACAGATGTTACCATGCTCTGCCAGATAGCTATGCTGTTTCTGAATGTTTTTTTTCAACACAGTTGTTGCTTATAAGAAGGTATATAGTCTATGTTATGGAATAAGTTGTAATCTCCATTAGAGCGATTCCCTGTATTTGGGTAAACTTCTGACAAATCTCTGCAATATTCACAATCCATACAGGATACTCATAAAGAATCATTCTTTCAACTGTGTGGAGATAAAGTTCTTTCAAAACTCTTCCCACAAGGTTCCATTTTGAACTGACTATTCTGCATAATTTATTTATTATCTCATTCATTTGATCTCTGACATTAGTTAGATGAAGAAATTCATGCTTACTTCTCATCCAGAACATAGCCAAGGTATTTCAGTGTGCCCTGTCTTCATACTGGAACTCTATGCCAATTGATTCGTGGGATATTTCCCTTTAAGAATATTATGGCTTTTCTCTCTATTGTCCTGCTATTTCCTGCTGTTATGAAATCGCCTATATAAGCCTGCATTTGTGCAAAATTAACAATGTTTAATTTTAGTGCAGTATCCACTATGATATTCCAAAGAATGGTCTGATATTTTGAGCCCTAAGAAACTCTTTGTGGTATGTTTTAGTAATGCTGATGAGCAATTTGTTGCTTGCTCCTCTTTTGCAGAGTCACCTCTTTTTCAGAATACCAGCTGTTAACCTTAATACTGGCAAAGCAACCTTGCTGCCAAGTTATTATCCTACTGGTGTAGGTTTCCGAGTCAACACGTTAGCTTACACTGAATTGTGTAGTTTCGCACTACTCTTTACCTTTAAATCTAGTGTTACATTATCTTTTAAGTTCCCACTGCAAGTAGTTGGTGTTTTGTTAGCATGTAAGTCCGTGCCATCTGTTAAATATTTTGTGTTTAATAAAAGGATCTTTTACACCCTTTCCTACTTGTGTTCATCTTCAAGCCTGTGAGAGACTTTGCAAAGTTCACACTTAGGTATCTAGTTGCATTTTATGATACCTAAGCATATTAGATCTTACATAGTAGCTATCTGGTTAGGCACTGCCACCAGTAAATGGTCCTCAGGTTCCGGCATATGTCACCAAACATGTACTGCTCGAGAAATAAATGGCCATAAATACTTATTCATTTCATGAGGAAAGTTTCATCTTCAATGATCTCCTCTGACCCACCCACCCCATCTTCTTTATAGATAACTTCTGCAGATACTGGACACAAATTTTGTATATGTAATTGCTCCAATCTACATTTGTTTTGGGCCTAAAATCCATCCAATGTTAATACCACGACACAGAAGTAAATTCATTCGCCCAACGTTAAATAAAGCATAAGGCTCCTGTAAATGAAATCCTAGATCCCAAGAGCAGATAACCCTCAAAGCTTTGCTATAATGACATAAACCAAACCAAACCTAGATCCCAAGAACCAAATCATCACACAAAGACCAATATATGCTGACAGCCAATGATATTACACTTCCAGCAGCAATTCTAATCTACTTGTAGCCACAAGCCATGACCATTTGAACAAAAATGCCATGGTGAGAAAACATTTCCTGCTGAAAAAAGCTTATAGTGTCTTTTCATTGGAAATTCCAAATTCAGCAATTGCAATAAAATGGTACAAAAATCTAGTTAATCACAAAATATGAATAAATGACACTAAATTTAAATGAATTTCTATTAATATATCCCCAACATTTCAAAACATTCCTACATGTTTGGCTTGCCATGTTGCCTATATGTTGTCTCTGGCTTCACGGTCCTTATAACCCATAAGTACCTCATATTCTAATAAAAGAATCAAAAACAAAAGAAGCAAAAACTTACAGCTGTCTTCTTCAAGAAGCTCTATATCAACAAGAGGGAAACCAACTTTGGCAATATCATCCACTTCATAATAAATTTTTCTTATGTAACCATCATAACGACTAGTTATTGTTACAGATGCTTTGTCACTTTGAACTTCACATATGCTATCAAATTGATTGACTTTGTCACCTTCCTTTATATACCTAAAAACAAATGCAGACATTTTAGTTAATACAAAACAGATTACGTTTTGACAACATGTCAGTCATTTCTCAATAGACTGGAAAAACATATTTCATTTTTAATTTATTATTTAAAAAAATCAGTTCTCTTAAACTACTACACTGAAAATATTTTTCTTCCTTCTAGTAGATAAAACCCTAATACACACAACTAAGTACATTGTATCATGCATTTTATTTGAATTTGTGTTGTTGGCTTTTTTTTTTATTCAGATAAATAGTGTGTAGTTAAATGTCATCAAATACTTTTTTAGCTCAGAATGGACTTGTATATAATACAAACAAACATGACAGTAAAGTATTTTTTAACAGAGAAAATAATTTAAGTTCATAAATTAAGTCAAACATTTCTGTACAAATGGCTGTTTTGAAAGCATCATTCTAAAAAAGAAATATATGGAAGCAGCACACCTAATACACTTTAATAATTTAAACTTATACACCAGGTTTAATAATTTAAACTTATACATACCGATGTTTGAAGCACATTATGAGTGAAGATGAATCACAAATTAAGATGAATCTGCAGACAGCTTTATCAACTGCTGCAGATAAATCCTACCTTAACTTAGAAACATAGGTTAAAAACAGAACTTGATTTTCATGGATGCAAAGAGAATCAAAGCAATAAACATATGATCTGGAATTCTGATGGCTATTTTGCAACTTGATAGACATCTGGTAAAATGTGCAGTGTTAACAGTGAGATTTTGGGAGTGATAGAGGAAGCTGTTTGTTTTCTAATTTTGTCTTTGCCTCTTAGCATTAATCCCAGAACATTTGAAATTTGACATTTCCCACAAATCTGTTAACTACTAAACAAAGTAATCTCTAGTTTCATAATTTAACAACATAAAGATGAAAAAGTTTAATTTAACTTAGAGTAAAATTCAATTCTGTTTTTGTTAATATAAAAAAGTAATTTATTTCTGAACCAAAAGAGCCCACTTAAAATATTTTAGGGAACTGAACCTCCAACTTGTTTGTAAAATAGCATCACTAAGTTTCTGATGCCCATTCTCCTAATTTTAAAAGATCATTATAAAAATATGTACAACTTGAACACACACATACAAAAAAAAGGATGGTTCTATATCTCCTGTTCTATTGAACTGATTACCCAAAATTTAACTTGCATTTTCCATGTCTCAAAGCATGATTTAAGATATATATTAAATTTATTTATTGCATTAGCCTAATAAAGGTATTTTGACACAATCAGACCTTTTCTGAAATAACACACCAATTGTTTTCCATATTTTGACTCTATGACTCAAGATATGCCTACATATTAAATTTTCTAATTTTTGTTGAAAAATTTATGCAGAAATTTAAAAATTTATCTTAACACATTTTTTCAGTTTGTGCCAAAAATAATTCACTTGGCGAACTTCTTAATTTATAGCAACCTATTTTTCCTTCCCTTTCTTTTTCATGAGCGGAAAAAAAAGTCATCGTTCATTACTTTCAAATAATTTTAACAAAGTGTGTAAACTAGATTTGGTATTATTAGTGCTTACGAATGAATATGCCAAATTTTAAAATGTGCCAATATGTAAATTCACATATATCTTACAAAATTTTGAATAAAAAACTCTTATTTTTGGCAGATATGCTTAGAAATACACCGTTGGCCATTAAAATTGCAACACCATAAAGCAAATACAAAAAAAGATATTTATTGCACATAAACAATATGGCATGAAGACAAAATGATTAAATTTGTAAGCATTTTGGAGGTTTACAGGGGTGCAAAAATATTAGAAACAGCTACCACCCCTGGCAGCTAAACGGCCCTTGCCCCATTAGGCATAAAATCAAACTGGGATTGGATGACAAAAATGGGCAACTCATTCCATGTTGCTTCAAGTCTATGCCACACTTCATCACCCCTATTTAGCTGGAGAGGGGTGGCAGGCTAGTCTTTCAGCGACCCATGACCAGATGTTTTCAATGGATGCCAGATTTGAGATCGTGCAGGCCAGGGCAGCGATCGAATACCCTGTGTATCTAGGAAGGTCAGAACACGACGTGCAACATGTGGTGTTGCATTATTTTGTTGGGACATGGTGTTTGGGAGCGTTGAAGATAAGGCATAACCACTGGACGTAACATGTCAGAAATGTACCCATCTATCTGCGTTCAAATTACAGTCGATCCGAACTAGAGACGTGCATGTTGTGTATCAAATGGCTGCCCAAACCATCACACCAGGTGCAGGGCCCCTTATGTCGATATCGAATGCAAGCAAGTGACGTGTGGTCTCCTCGAACACTTCACACTCGTGTATGGCCATCAAAATATGCACGTAGAATTAATTGGGACTCATTTGAAAAGGCGACATTGTGCCACTCCTGTACCCAGCTTTGTCGTCTGATGCATCAGAGTCATCGTCTCTCTATGCTGCATTGTCGAGGGAAGCCAAAGCAATGATCACCCTGCTACAAACGTCGGTGCACCTTGTGAGCTGATACTGGGCGTGCTGCAAGCATGCCCATTTTCTGACTAATGCTCCGTGATGTGGTCGTATGGTTTTGCAGGGCTGACCTCACAATATGTCTGTCGTCTCTGGCATTAGCCATGGGAGGGTGTTGAGATCCTGCATGCCGTTCAGTATGACCCTCAGCAATCCATTGATTCCATATTGGCATAACAATGGTTGGATGTCGACCAGTGTGACCGGCGATATCACAGAACGATAATCTACACTTTTGATTTGCAACGATCCTGCCTCTTTTGAATTTCAGAACTTCCTGGTAAGAATTTTCTCTTCTTATTCGAGGCATAACACGGTATTATGAGCAAACTCTAACTTTACAAAGCATTTTCCAAATGAGAAATCCACTATGCAATATTTCTTTTATGCAGTGTTACAGATGTCGTTCCTCCCTCCTGTGTCATCTAAATGCTCTGAAATACTAATTATTTGCATATCCCAACCTCTTTTTCCTTTCATGTGACTTTGACATTCGTCAAATCATTCCTTCCTGGTGTTCAATTTTAATAGCCAGCAGTACTTTAAAATGATGTTAAAAATTTTATATGCTATAACGCGAGATTGTTTTCGAAAAATTCATAAAAAATATTTAAAAATACAAATTTTTAAAATAAATAATAAAAAATGTGCAAATTATATTTGGATTAAGCCTAAATTTCGAATTCTAGAAGAAGGAATCAAGTTATAGTTTAATAAAAAAAGATATTAATACATATATATCAAATTAAATTAACATTGAAGAGTTAAAATTTTGAGAGCTAATTTTATAAAAACTACTTGTGCGATTTTTACAAAATTTGACCATCTAATATATATTGTAAGTAAGTCACTTTCAAGACATGGAAGATGCAAGTTAAATTTTGATAATCAATCCAGTAGAACGGGAGATATAGAACTGTCCCCCCCTTTTTTGTGCATTTGAAAAGAAAATATTATGTAAACGTTTACCATTCTTTTAGAGTAACTTCTGATATTCCTTCTCCAATATCTGATAAATTGAAAGAAACTATTTGACCATAATGTGCTGCAATGAATAAATAAATATGATTACATAAATGGTGGATTCTTTTAACATATGATGAAAAATGCAAAATATGAAAAGATGATTAAAATATACAAAAAAGAGTCAAAGCTTGCAGAATATATTTCTTTTCAATTTTATAATTTTAATAGAATGCACTACAAATTGTAATAGACCATTTTTACTTTTTAATGGAATAATTTTACAGTTGTAGCTATAAAAATCCAATTATATATTCATTTCACTACACAGTAATGCAATAACTTCAATGAATCTCATCAGCTACAATAAGTTTGAAGTATGAATGTAATTTATTTGATTAGTGAGTCTAACTTAATAAACTGACATATTTTTTATCTGATATTCCTAGTTACACACAGCTGTATCAAATTCTGGATAAGTTATATGCCCACCAAAGGCGAATGGTGAAGTTTCTGAATACTGGTAGTTCAGTTTGGGGTTCAAGTCCTGGCAAATGGGCTGGCTGCATAGGCATTGCTGTGGTGTTCCCCACGTGTAATGAGCATATGAGCAAGTTTTCCTTAGAAAGTCCACCACAAATGCATCTCTTCTCTTAGACAAATAGTCAAGTGCTTTCACATAATAAATCAAATCAAAAGATTAGTTATGTAGCACATCAATAAATAGAAACACAGGATTCTATGCAATTATAGTGATATTCAGTTTTGATAACACAGCTTGTCAAGAAATACTGCTATGGTAACAGTAAGAGTTGTTACAATGGTATTTTTGTAATCACATGTATATTATAGACTGTGATTACATAATGCACAAAAATGGAACAAACAGTGAACATTAAATTTTGCATGAAATTCAGAAAATTGGCCATAGAGACATTGACCATGTTTCAGCAAACTTGAGGCAATAAATTGTATGTAATGTTTGGCAAAAGTGTTTCAATGTTCGTGTGGCAAAAGTGTTTCAAGGGCAGAAAAAAAAATGATGAGCCATCTTGAAAATGTTTACAAGCAACATGTCCAAAAAAATTGAATTAATTCAGGAATTTGTGCATGCAAAATATCAGAAGATGAGACACTCCAGATATTTATTATTTGTATGTCAAAATCCTAATATCATAAATGAACATACTGCACATTGCTGTTAAGTTTGTCCCTCGAATAGGAAAAATATTGTGTCACAATGTGCCAAGATCTCCCTAAACATGCAAAGGATAAGCCAATTTTTCTTATTCAGGTTTATCTGTGGTCATGAGATTCAGCATATACCACATGAACTCACTAAGGTTACGGCCTCGCTTACACAAAATGACTTTGATGCTCATTCCAGCAGTTGCAAAATATAAACAATATATACTCCCCATAACAAACTGTAATGGGATTCCACCTTTTAAATTTCATACCCAGATACCATAAAGATAACATTAATGTTACTGGTGTTAACATCTAAAAGAGAAAACATGAAACTTTTTTTTTTTTTTTGAAGTATGTGATATGGAAGTATATTATGATTTCGTCCAGTCTCGTTTTTTGAATACCAGTCCCCTCTAAGTGTTACTAGAGGGGAAAAAAAAAGACTGAAATAGCATGATTTTTTATGTTCTTACTCCAAATACCTGCAGAAAGGAAAAAAGTCTAAAGTGTCATGATATTTTGTTGCCACATCCAGAAAGTTTGAAGTAGGAAAGGCTAAAATGGAGCACAATGAAAAACTTTTCTGCCAGTGGCGTAGCTAGAGTGGGGCAAGGGGGGACATCTGTCCCCGGGCGCAGCATCCAAGGGGCGCCAAACTGATGCTACGAAATTTTTAATGAAATGTTTTCCATTCTTGGCACACAGAAAGGGGCGCAAATTCTTCAGTTGTCCCCGGGTGCTGAAAGTTCTAGCTATGCCCCTGTTTTCTGCATAAAAATTTTTCACCGCACTTGAAATTATAATTACACTTATTTTTAGAGAAATTCAAACTATTTTATGATTAAATTTTTGCTTATTACATTTAGAGAAAACTGCATAAAAAATACTGTAAAGCAACAGACCTGAAGATGTAAAAAGACAACGATGTTTCCTTGCACTTAGATTGCATATTCTTAAAGATGCTGCCTGTTTGGGTCTTGAAACATGATGTGACTATAAAATAAATATAATTTAAGCATACTGTTTACAAAGCACAACATATAATTAAACATGCAAAATGCAATAAATATTAATTAAATTGTGTATACTATTTAATATCACAATTCATAATTGAATAAACTATATTTCTTCTATCAGCTCCCAGATACTCAGAATGTACTTCTGTTCCTATTCTGTAATGTATTTAAGATACCTTAATCAGGACATAATTTCTTTTTAAGAAATGTAAACAAAATAATTTTCTTCATTTTTTAGAAGAATAGCTACTTTCTTAGTTCAAGTTAAGCCATAAGTTTGAATTAAATGAGCACTGAACACTTGCCACATCAAACTTACGCTATCTTCCCTAAAATATTACATTTTACATACTATTTTGAACTAAAATGTTTCAGTGTTATCTTCAGCTATAATGAAGCATGCACTTTTAGTTTTAAAATATGCTCTGGTTTTTTAAAGAATTGACTGGATTAAGGCAAAGGGTCAGCTTATTCCAATTCTGATTAAAAATATTTTGTATGATGCAATCTGAGGTTCCCATGCCCTTCTTCTATTCACTAATCCCTTGAGAGCACTTACGAATTAGCAAACTTGAAACACCATTAATCAGGAAAGAATGTTGCCACAAATATACATGGGTACTTCTTTGTTGAAACAGATATTACACTTAGTCATCAAAATTGGCAAACTTAATCACCTAATCAGTAAAGTGAAAATTTCAAAGGTCACCAAAGGCTTTCGTTGGTGGCCCTTTTAACACATTCGCTGCCACTGACGCGCTGGTGCGTCAGCATGGCGCTACCTCCCATGCCGGTGACGCTCTGGGGCGACAATCGAGTATGATAAGTAAACTGCTTTAGTTTTAGTTCGGATTTGGAGGTTGAACGATGAGGTTTTTGTGGCACGTTAGTGAAGCATTATTTTTATATTTTCAGTGCGTGGTTTTTAAATTTTGTGTTTAAATTTTTTTTTTTTTTTTTTTTTTTTTTTTGTGTGTGCATTTTTAAAAATGGCGGACAGTACAAGTATTGCAGGACCTTCACAGCCTAAGAAAAGGAAAGTAAGTAAAAAACTGACTGATGCCGAAATATTAGAATTACTAGAAAAGAGTGATCTTTCTGATTATGACAGCATAGACGATGAAGATTACGGTTGGGATTCTACGAGCGAATCGGAAAGGAGATAGTGATGTCGCTGTGGATAACTTAGAAATGTCGGATTCTGACACAGAAGATCAACAATTACCGGTAATCCGACAGGTTGACTGGAAAACAGATTCAAGTTGCATGGTAAGTCATACATTTACAAAATCTGAGTCCTTGCTAATACAGCCAACTGAAAGTACTCCTATCGGATATTTTCGCCTTTTCCTCATTGAAGTATTTCTGGAAAAAATAGTCGAAGAAACAAATCGTTACGCATTAGAAATACAAAATAGCGATAAAACGAAAGAAAAGTCATGAATAACGCTTTGGAAAGATTTAAAAGTGGATGAATTTTTAGTTTTTTTGGGAGCATTCTTGCAAATGGGGACAGTAAGAATGAATAGACTTCAGGACTACTGGAAGAAGGACCCATTATTTCATAATGTAGGCATTGCAAATAGCATTAGCCGAAATCGGTTTTTATTAATTTTACGTGCATTACATTTTGCAAAAAATAGTGAACCTGGAGAACCTCAACCTACAGACAGGTTATATAAAATACGCCCTGTTATCGATTTTTTTAACGAAAGAATGTGCGAGATATATTATCCTAATAGAGAACTTTCTTTGGATGAATGTATGGTTCTCTGGCGAGGTAGATTATTGTTTCGTCAATACATAAAGAATAAAAGACATAAGTACGGTATAAAACTTTATATTTTGAGCACATCAAGTGGAATAGTGCAAAAGATTGCCGTGTATACTGGTTTATTACATGACTATGGAGGGCAAAACCATACACAAAAAATTGTTTTGCATTTACTGAATGAAAAATTAAATGTCGGTCACCATGTTTTCATGGACAATTATTATAATAGCTTTGACTTGGCCAAGTTACTGTTAGATAAAAAGACACACTGCACAGGCACATTGAGAACCACTCGAAAAATCACTCCAAAGAATGTTCAAACTACTAAATTGCGAAAAGGCGATACTATTGAAAGGTATTGTCAGGGAGTAATGATCGGAAAATGGAAAGATAAGCATGAAGTGTCTTATATTTCTACGGAATACAAAAATGAAATGGTTGACATTTTAAATAAACGAAATGAAATAAAGCAGAAGCCTCTGCCAATCATCAAATATAATGCATTTATGTCTGGTGTAGATTGGCAAGATCAAATGCTGTCATATTATCCCTCGGAAAGAAAATCACTACGCTGGTTGAAGTAATGCTAATGAATTCACATGCTCTTTATAATAAATATTCCGGAAAAAAAATATCACTTTACAAGTACCGACTGAACGTTGTAAAATCACTTTTGCCATCAACAGACGAACAAAAGCCGACTCCCAAGAATCTCAGACGTACTCTTCAGAAAAGAGAACTTGCACCTGGTAAAACCAAAATACAAAGAAAAAGGTGTACATCTTGTTCCTCTCAAGGCAAACGCACAGACACTACGTATGAGTGCCGTGACTGTTCCGACAAGCCAGGATATTGCTTGAATTGCTGTGAAATATACCATAAGTGATAATATATTTATGCAGTACTGTTCTACACTGACATTTTGTTTGTAATAAGTTTATTTTTTTTTTTCATTTTCTATTATGTTGTTTATGTATATTATACAATATTTGTTACATTTTATAATCTTACATTTACATTTATACATATTTATGTTTTACTGTTACATTTTATAATTTTTCATAAATTTCACTTCTCTTTATCCAATTAAACGTTTTATTTCTTTTAAACTGTGACTTTATATAATGTGTCAATAATTTCGCAGAAAAATGATGAGACGCGCCAGAGCGTCAGTGGCATACAGATAATAAGTTGAACGTGAGAAGCCACTGACGCTCTAGAGCGTCCGAAATTTTTTTACACTAAACATGAAAATAAAAGATTTTTCTTTTTTTTCTGGCTTTACTATTAAAATATTAGGAACGTTTTTAATCATTAAAACACTTTTTTTAAATTCGGCTTCTGAGGATGGATATATAAATTTTGGTGGCAGCAAATGTGTTAACAAGGATGTGCATGTCAGTGCCTTACCTGGAGTTTCAAATAAATCACTGTAAGACAAGCTTTTGGTAATCACTATATTGACCATGGCAGTTCCTGATGATTACTTTTGATGCAAAACAGCGACAGATACATGTTTCCATTTCGGCTATGATACTATTATCAACTTTTGCTGTGCACCTGATACAAATTTCAAATTCCTTAGTTGTTCTAGTTCGCAGTCTCCTAAAAAGGTTAACTAAAATATGATACATTATCATAATCTACAAGCTATTACACAACTGATGCTGTTTTATGGTTGGATGCATCTTCATATTAGCACTGAAGGTTCTCATAGTTGAAGTGCTGCTGTAGTTGGTAAGGAAGACTCATCAAAACTTGCTGGGCAATAGCTGCATTCATTTCAACCAATGGTGCATTTATACTCCAAAAAGAGAGCCACACAAAAATACTGCCAACTCCAAACTCATAACTAAAAAATGTACATGCTAAGAAATCTAACCTTTTTTTTCTGTACCCATTTCCCTCATTGCTACCACATACAAATTTAACTTTTGACATGCTTCATACCTATGTTCATCGAATCACAAGATTCATTTCTGCCGTTCTAATACCTGAGACAGAAAGTCTATGTCATCGGAAAGTTAGCTTTTATGCAAGGACTGAATTGTTTGATATAAAGTAAAGCCCACAATAGCTATCTACTTAAGTTTCATCCTACTTTTAAAATAAAAACTCTTGGAGGAATGATATTGAAAGCATCACACTTTTCTTCCCTCATCACTACCCTTTTATGCAGACTTTCACAAGTTTTAACTGCCTTCATGCTGCAATGCCTTGTCAGAAATTCAATGGATCTATTCCTTATCTGGTATTCAAACTTAGATACTCAACTAATAAGAAACCACAAGTCTGCACTAACCATCATGTTATACAAGGCAGTCAATATACTCAGCATGCCACTTCATGGAGACCTCAGACATTCTCTTGAACTGTATCCTCTGCTGATTTATGTATTTAAACTTTAAACTGAATAGGAAAATAAAAACTGCTAGTAATTTTTGACTCTGTAAAATATTTATGAGATAAATAAAGAGCTGTACAAAAATCAAGGACATCATTTTAGGGCATAATCATAATCATAAGGGCACAAAAATCTTCCTTAAAATTCCTTCTATATTTCTCTCTTGCACTCCGGGTAAGTGTACATTCATCGACAAAGTGCCTGGCATCCCCAAACTTATCACATATTATGTATTTATCATTATTCTGTAGATGGAACCAATTAAAATAAGCCGGGAGACACCCATGATTAGTCAGTATCTGATTTATATCAATATTATTTATAATATTCATCTATCTTTCTTAATTTCATACTTTTCATTAACTTTTTCTTATTAGATGACTCCCAGCAAAAATTCCATCCTGTATAAATCCAGTTTTCAATTTCAGCAAAGGTCTTTTTTTCTTGAACTTGGATATCAAAATTATCGGTCCCATCCCCAAGTGCCACTATTTTAGCAAGGGTGTCCGCCCTTTCATTTCTGACAATTCCACTGTGTGCTTTCACCCAGTGTAATTTAGCAATATTTTTTCTTTCAGTCTCTTTAAACAAGTCTTTTATTTCAATTGATTTTTATGATCTGGTTGGGAGAGTGCCTGTTACGCAGACAGGGCATCAGTATAAATATTTATAAAATTGATGTGTTAACTTTTTATTAACTCAAAGCCTCTGTCAATGTGTGTAGTTCTGCTCGATAAACCGAATTCATTAGTTTAAGTTTTATTCTCACATTGTCTATCTCCACTCCATGAAAATAAATTACCACAGCGCTACCCACTCCCCCATCAATTCTAGAACCCTCTGTAAAAACGTCTATTTCGCCACCAGCAGGAAAATCAAGATAAAAAAATAATCCAAATCATGTCATCGGGTGAATAATATCCTCATTCTCTTGTTGAAAGGCCTTACTAATTACTCTGAATATACAGTTTTCAATGCATTATTGATTTTATTTAGAATCAGAAGTTGCATTGTTACATCTTCTCTAATTCTGCCTTCGTGTGCTATCTATATGTCAGCATCATTGACAAAATAATGTAGTATTTCATGAGAGCAAAGAGAAAACTTTATCCCTCCTTTTCTCCCTCAACATAAGATGGTTGGCAAGTTTTTTCTTATCTGCATGCTGTCTCCATCTAATATTCAAGAAGGAAGAAACAAGTGTTCATCATTTAGCACAATTTATTAAGCATTATTATTACACAGAGGCAAATTTTGTGCTTTGAAGTTTACATCTAAGTTTAATGTTGTTTATTTAAAGTTGATTATTTTAAAGATGTTTATTCTTATTTCTGGGCTTAACTCCATATGATAACATATAAACGTGTAATATTAAATGACATTTTTTTTTTTTTTTTTTTTTTAAGAAATTTGAAGTACAGTTTTGCTCAGATCAAGACTTAAATTCAGCCAATATTCAGTTCTGGTGTTTCCCAATTTTTTGAATAAAATCAAAATTCTAGCTACAGTGAACTGAAGCTTCAAACCAAACAAACTCTGCTGTACACCTGAATTGTAATACTTCAGTAGCTGAGAGAGAAAAAAAATTTCCTTGTCAAAATGCAAACCCCAACAGAAATTTTTTGGGCTCTACTCATTTGGTCAAAACGTGTTTAGATTAGAAGCCTCACATATATCTCAGTATGAAGAAAAATATTCTTCCCACTGAGATATAAGTGCATTTTTTGTTTTCCCTCACTGATGAAAACATTAATTTTTGTTGTATCATCCCCCTTGACTACATAGTGGTTAGCGAACACCGATTACTACTCTGAATGACAGGGTGAGCATTAATCCTGTAAACGGATTGTTTACTTATGTGTTTTTACACCATTTCACAAATATAGTATCAGACCACCCTTAGTAGTGTACTCTATATAGTGTTCTCAATGATGAGATGGCTTAATGACTGATCTGTATGGCTATTCTCAACAAATCCATGAGAAGTACGAGTTCGGCTATATTGGAGGGGGGGTTAACTTATCTTTTATCCTCCATATCGTGTCTTACTGTTATCAGGGTTGCCACTCAAACAGGAGAATAAAATTCCCTGACTTTTCCAGGTGTGTTTCAAGAAAATTCCAGTCTATCCGCATAATGTACATTGGCTGTGCTAAGAGGTAAATTAATTATGGTATTACTTGTATTGTGTAGCAAATTCACTTAATTATTCAATAAATCCCAGAGGACATTTATTCTTAATTATTCTTGGTATACTTTGTTTGATAATTTTGTTTACTTTTCCACTTAAGAAACTTAATAAAATTTAAGATATATATATTGGATAACAAATGTATGTTTTATTTAATTATTACTCATGATCATCACCAGTTCAACACGAGGCTAATCCGGTCCTTATAAATCACAACGCAATGCTAAATAGTTAGGTTAGATTTTAGGTAAATTTAAAAGGCACCTTTAACACTTGAAAACACAAATATAATTATAATAGTTGTTGTTTTCTCCACTGAAGATTGAGATTAGAATCTTCCCAATCTGGAATAAAATAAGGCTTTTTTTTTTGCAGACATTCTGCAGCTAAACGAAAGAAAAGAATCTATTTTAATAAATTGAGGTATTTTATATTTATTTCGCAGCATACATAAGGAAAAAAAATATGTGCATTAAATTTCGTGATGGTATGTCATCATACTGCTAGAATTAATTTCAGGATTATGCCAGAGAAAATTTCCTGAAATTTGGAAAATATTATTTACTAATAATAAATAAATTTAGAGGGAAGAAGCAACATTAAATTATACGAATAACATAAAAATAAAGCTAATTACTTAAAATTGAATTAGAATAATCAACGATATTTTAGCGAATATAGTTAGTTATATTACATGGTTAGCCTAGATGACTGATTACTATTTTTTATTTTACTGCAAAATGGCAAGGTATTTATTTAAAAAAAAAAAAAGGTTTTTTTTAAAAAGATTTTGCGGTAAAATTCTAGTATACGGTAAGGCTTTGGCACGATTTTGAAAATTGTCACCAAGACCAAAATGACCCATTTACTGCGCATCATCATGTCGCCAAATCCCATACGTGGAGATTACTCTAACCAAAGAACGTCTATGTAAAGAAGAAAAGGTTCCATACAAGTAAAATGCTATTACGCCGCTAGAATGTGGAGGGAAAACTTGCCAAGGGATTTGGCAACGGAACCTGGCGGCCAGAATTTTCCTCTCCGCGATGTGTACAGGAAATTGAGAAACACGGTGTTAAGAAGAAGAAACGTTCTTTGACCAAAAAGAAAAGCTACGAAAATCCGTTTTTAAATTATTGCGAAAAATCCAAGAAGAAACGTTTTATCAAAGGACGTTTCTTCTTGGATTTTTCGCAATAATTTTAAAAACGGATTTTCGTAGTAGTTTTTTTTTTTTTTTTCCCCCCCCTGAAAATAACTAATCCATGAATTAATTTACTTGCGCCAAAAAATATTTTCTTTTCCTTTAGAGTTTAACCACTTGCGCTAAGACTAAACTTCACGGTTGCGGTGCCGTGCGCTACAATATAACAAGCGGTAAAGTGTCTCATTTACGCCGCTCCGCATCTGCGAGTGCAATCCAGAGCTGTAACTCGAGAAATAAACAATCTCGTTGTTAGGCGACGTGTGCACCACGTTATTTTCATTTTTGCGATAAATGCTTATCGACGTGGTGTTCACGTCGCTCGCGGTTTGAGACAAAAGCATCTCGACGTGCGTGGCACGTCTTTTTAGCGCAAGTGGTTAAAGAAATTTTAAACGATATTCATTTTATGAACTCTTGATAACGTGACCTTCGAACTTCGACACCGGTTTCGAGCTTTGGCGACAGATATATCACCGCATGCACAGCTGTTTCCCTCTATGATGGAACGGAGCCACGTCTGTTGCAGAGAGGTTTTCCTTCTTTACAATACATATTCTTTGATTCTAACCTCCATGGTACCGTATACTAGGATTAAACCCATTTTGTTTTATACGAGAACAGGTACTTTCTTTAGTTCATGCACTGCACATGCGATTCTCGAGAATACTGGAAACCAAAAGTTGCGGGAAACTTGCTTTGCCTTTCTAAAAGACAATCAAATTGGAGCTGCGAAAATTGGCTCTATGCCAGCTGCCCGAATGACACTCACGTGATACACAATTCGCCAAAAAAGTTACCTCTTCCGACGTCGGCGCAAAAATCGCTTTTTTTTGGCGGGATCGTTGTATGAACTTCCCTGACTTTTCCAGATTTTGACAAAAATACTTAAATTCCCTGACTTTTACCTGAATTTTTTGGTCAATTTTCGAATCCCCTGACTTTTCCCGGTTCTCCCGTTTTTCCTGGTAGCGTGGCAACCCTGTGTTATGAGCTTACATTTCATTCCTTTAATTATTTCACTAATTTTTCTGATTTTATGTTAATTTATTCCTTTTTATTTAATTTTCATGATATTTTAACTCCTATAACTATTATTAATACTTTCATTCCTTTATATTTTATTTAATTTTTTCATTATTTATTGCTTCATCTATTATTTTATTTGTTTTTTGTTCCCTTTTCTGTTGGCATTCTGCATAATTCTAGCATTTCTAATTTTAGAAATTAAGTATTGGTTGTAGTATTAGAACATGTTTTCACATACAGAACTTTGTAAAATAAGCAATAAAATCAAGGTATGTTTGATAAAGAACAGACCTTCGTAAAATAAGCATATTAAACTATCTCTAAAACTTTATAAAGATAATATAATAAAAGCAATAAAATATTAAATCAGTAGATAAATTATATATAGACCTTCATAAAACAAGAACTGCCTTAATCAGTCTGCTGAATACACAAATAGCTAAAATTATATAAAATTAATAAATTTAAGTAGAAAATGTAGTCTTAATTCATAACTGTTATTGCTTGAACTGGACGATTTTATAAATTGCACTTAAAAAAAATCATATGAAGTATCATATAAAGGAAAATAGTGATTTCTTAGTTTATTTCAATCAAAAAGAACAGTTACAGGTCACCAAAATGATATACACAAAAGAAAAAATAATTTCCCTTCACACATAGTTTGAAATGAATTACTTGTATAAACTGTAATATACTGCTCGACATTGAAAATGCAACACCAAGAAGGAGTAGTCAGAAATTTATGCAAATTTTAGCCAACATGCTCTGCGAGGTATACAGATGCTTCCCTGGCCACCATACTCTCCTGACCTGTCACCAATTGAACATGTGTGGGATGTGATTGGACGCCGTTTGCAGACTATGCCCCCGCCTCGTTCAGAAGACGAACTGTGGCAAATGGTTGAAAGGGAATGGAGAGCCATCCCTCAGGACACCATCTGTACTCTTATTGACTCTATGCCTAGACATGTTTCTTCGTGCATCGCTGTCCACTGTGGTCCTACATCCTACTGAGCCGACATCATTCTCACTCTGTATTCTGATTATCATTTTGAAATAAAGATCACTTATTGCTGCTTGCTGTCTCTGCCTTTTTTCCAAATTTCATCACTTTCTGACCACTCCTTCTTGGTGTTGCATTTTCAGTGTCGAGCAGTGTATGTCCAAGAAAAAAGTTTGATTCTAATATGTGCTAAAATGTAAATTCAATGTTCTGGACTTTCTCTTGATACTGAAAATAAGCTTGTACATAAATTTATAACCACGTGTAAATATCATCAGTATTCATATCACTACAAGGTTGTTCAATAAGTTCCCGGAGCGCATCTATTCGCCAATATTAGACCTAAAACTTTGACGCCATTTTCATATTTGTTCTTTCTTAGGAACACGTCAAATGTATCATTTCGATCTGTTAATTTATTCATTTAACCGCCCTTTATATCTAACGTGTTGTGCCTTTTTTCAGGTATGGATAAAATTGAGCAATGTGCAGTTATCAAATTCTTTGTAAAGAAAGGTTTAAAAGCAATGGAAATTCATACCGAAATGGTGAATGTGTTGTGGGTGAATCTGCTCCTTCAAAAACAACGGTTTGCAAGTAGGCTAATTTATTCAAAAGTGGTCGTACCAGCCTTGAAGACGATGCGCGAGAGGGACGTCCAAAGACTGCATCTACACCGGAAATCATCGGAAAAATACAAGATATGGTATTCGAAGACCGTCGATTGACTGAAAGCTTAACAGAGGCTTTAGGCATTTCATTGGGCACAGTGAGCAATATTTTGAGTGTTAATTTGGGTTTCAAAAAACTCTATGCAAAATGGATACGGCATTCTCTAATGATGGAGCAAAAACACATTCGGATGCGACTTTGCCAGCAACATTTGGAGCGTTTTTAAGGAGAATAAAAGCGACTTTATCCGTCGATTTAAGGCTAAGGAGTGGTGTGAACCCTGCTCTTCAGCGCCGAAGCGAGTTCGTGTGCAAAAATCAGCCAAGAAGGTGTTAGCATCAGTTTTTTGGGATGCGAAAGGATTTTTGTTTATAGATTACCTTCAAACTGGCAAAACAATTAATTCGGATTATTATTGTAACCTTTTAAATCAATTTAGACGAAAAAATTCGTGAAAGAAGACCGGATTACAGAAGAAGAAAATCATTTTCCACCAAGATAATGCACCTGCGCACACAGCTCAAAAAACCATTGCTAAAACAAATGAATTGAAGTACGAATTGTTGCAACATCCAGCCTATTCAACAGATTTAACTCCCTCTGACTTCTGGCTCTTCCCACACCTCAAACAATATCTCCGTAGAAATGATTTTCTTCAAACGAAGAGGTAATTGCTGCCGTGGAGGGATATTTTGCAGAGCTGCCGAAAAACCACTACAGTCAAGGGATCCATAAATTAGAAGACTGTTGGAATAAGTGTATTGAAGTTGAGGGAAATTACGTTGAACAATAAAGTCCTTTTTACAAATAAATATTGGTTTCTTCATTTCCATTCAGTGAACTTACTGAACAACCTGGTATGAGTGAAATTTAAAAAGATTTCAGTTGTTGATTTCTCCAGTTTCAGCACGTTGTCTGGTACTAGACTGAATTAATAAATGATTAATACAATTTACTTAATGCTTATACTTAAAAATATGTTACAGAGCAATATGCATCAATTAAGCAAAATTGAAATAGACTGCAGGGTACGAACTAATTGCAAACTTTATCGGAAAATATTTTCATTTCAGTATTTCATCTTAAATTTTGTGAATTAAAAATTTTTGTTATGTGCACTTCATTATTTTATATGTTTCGAATACATGTAATTGTAATTTCCACTCATAATTTTTTTTTTAAATTTGGTGTTCAGCAGTATGGCTCTTATGAAAACTCAGGCTACGCCCCTGACAAAAATGAAACTACATCATCGTTCTATGCAACATTAGATTATCAATTCAAAACAGTTTCAAACAAAAATAAAAAATGTTTCAAGTGTTTTGATTTTCTGTGCAACAATTAACCTTAAGCCATTTGCAGCTAGACTCTAGATGATAAAATGGCATGTGGACTTATTAAGAAAGTGAAATTAGAGTTTCTGAAGGGTTGAGTATGATATTTGTGGAGGTGTTAACACTGCTCCAATACTTATTCTTCGTAGACTTGTATACACTTTATTAACAGACTGTAGAGCAATTCCCCCCCTGTGAGTTTCGCTTAAATGCTGTTTATAAGATAATTATTATCATATATGATATCAATGTGTATGAAAATTTTCATCATTGAGGACTAGATTTACTCTCCTTTATAAGTAATAATATTTACACTGACAAGCCCATTCTTGCACTTACTTTTACGAATGATGGGAAAGAATCTAAGCGAATTTGATAGAGGGGCAAATTGTATTCGCCCAAAGACTTGGGGCAAGTATCCCTGAAATTAGATAATTGGTCAGTAGTTCACAATATGCCAGAGGTCACATAATACATTATTGAATATGTGGTCAGAATATTTTGGCTTTTTAGTACATACGACATTTTTATAATCCAGCATGAAAAACTGAATTTAAAATTTTTAGCATTTAACAGGCTGCATACTTTCATTCTATACACAGTCATAGAATGATTTTGAAACTAGACTTTTATGTAAAATCCCACTTAAGATCATTATTTTTCCTTTTCAGGAAGGGGGATACTATCAATAAAAATTAAAAACTGACTTTTGGTATTCTCGAATTTATCTTTTGCTTTACATCTGGAACTCTGTAAATTAAGATCCGAGAAAATTTTCATATATGGCTTAAGAGATTTCTACTTATGATATTGCCTGAAATGTCAAGAATTTTGCTTACTGCAAAGCAACCTTTTTTTGATGGGTGTGTGGAGGGTGCTGATATGCATGAGTGAAATTTAAAAATAATACTTCAGCACATGGAATCTTTTAGCAAACTTTAGGAAATGAGGTGATATCAAAAGCACAAGCTTTTTAGTGGTAAAATGTTTTCTGAAGATATTGTACTGTACAATGAATATTTTAGTGATATACAATGTCCGGCTATTAATTTCCAGGACTCATGGAATAACTCAGAATAAAAAAAGGTTAAACACATAGCCATTTAATATGATTCAAAGTAATCTCCATCAGCCATAATGTAAATCTGTGCTCAGCTGTACAAATTTCGGAAAGAAATTTTAAAGTCCACTTTTGGAATGGTCTTTAATAGTGACGTTACAGTTTTCTTGATGGCTTCGACATCCTGAAATCTTGTTCTCTTCAGCGAATTTTTCAGCTTAGGAAACAGGAAAAAGTCTGCGGGTGCTAGGTCTGGAGAGTATGGTGGATGCTGCATTTCAACGACACTATGCTGGGCTAAGAATCGCCTCACAGGCAAAGCAATGTGTGGGCCAGGCATTATCATGTAGCAACAGCCAACTCCCATTTTGTTGAAAATGAGGCCTCACTCTAAGAATTCGTTTTTGAAGTCGGTCAAGAACTTCTGTGTAGAACTGTCCATTGTTAGTCATGTTAGGAGGAAGAAATTCATGATAAATGAGTCCATTGCAATCGAAGAAAGCAATTAACATGACCTTGATTTTGGTGGTGTATTTAATTATGGCAAAGCACACGAGGGCTATCTGCCTAAAGGGAGGGATGCCTTTCGTGGAGGACTTTCTAAGGGAAACTGGCTCGTATACACATTACACATGGGGAAAACCACGAAAACGCCCCTGCAGCCAGCCCGTTCGCGGGATTCGAACCTCAGGCCGAACTACCAGTGTTCAGCGTCTTTACCGCTCGGCCACTGGTGGGACCTTGATTTTGGACTTATTGTACTAAAAATCGAAATTTTTTCTGCCTTGGTGAACTTTGAGACCGCCATTCGGAGCTTTGACGCTTGGTTTCAGGGTCATATTGATAACACCCAAACTCACCTCCTGTGACTATCCTATCTAGGAACGCAGGGTCAGCATCAGCGTTGTCGATAAGTTCGCCACGTGTCCAGTCTCAGTTGCTTTTGTTCGTCCCTTAAATGGTGAGGAACGAATCTGGAACAAATCTTGCGTTTGCCTAGGTCTTGCATCAAAATTCGCAGAACCGTCTCTTTGTCCATGTTGAATTCATCGGTGAGTACTCGAATAGTCAATAGACGATCACATTTCACCATATCGCAAACTTTTTCAATTGCTTCCGGCATGCATACGGACTGCAGCCGACCTATGTGTGGATCATCTTCGACGCTTTTGCACCCATCCCGAAAGCATTTAAACCATTCAAAAGTCCTTGAGCGGGATAATACTTCCTCGTTATGAACTTGTTTTAACATTTTGTAGGTTTCCACAGCTGTCTTGCCAATTTGAAGCAAAATTTAATGTTAATTCTTTGTTCCATTTTCCCTTCGACAATAGGAATTTAAGAGCTACATTTTAATGTGCGTTTCCACGAGGACCACTTACTTCAGAATGGCGCCTATTGCACTGCACATGCACAAGAAAATGCTCTTCAATATGCAATCAGGAATTCAAGAATCAGAAATTTGCCCATTTAATACTGACTGAAGATTTAGAAGTGAACAAAGTAGTCAACGTCAAAACAAATCCTAAAATCAGATCATTTCACTAGTGTTTTAGGAAATTCAATGAACACTGAAATATCAAATGTCAGCTAACCTTTTAAAAAGAATGAAGATACTTACAAAAATAACAAACCATATTGTTATGGATTTGGTATTTAAATAGCTAATATTAGTACAATTTTAAATTAAATTATTTTATTCCCCATGCAGTGCAGCGCATGACGAATATTAAGAGTAAGCCTATATATTAAGACGCGCGAGAATATTAAGAGTATTATTTTCGAGTTTAGGAAAATTAAAAATACAAAAGCATGTGCATTTAACATTTAGTAAATAAATATCTCTTTTTGATTTCAAGAAATTGCTAGAACAATCTCGTGCATGATTTAAAAAGCTTAAAAAAAAAGAGAAAAACCTCTCAATTCTGTTGTTGTTTTATGAGTTTGTTTAGAAAACTGCTGTTGTTTTACTGTAGAGAATTCGCGGACTAGCTTTCTCTATTTTGAATTAGTTCTGGTGAACGTTTTTAGTAGTTTAGAAGATAACTACTGTGAGATATTAATATTGTGTGAATATTTGAGGAAATTTAAGCATTTTGCTTTATTTGTGGTAATAATAATAAATATTATTCATTTTTTTCATCGGACTTGTGTATTCAATTCATAATGAACCCGTAAGCACGCAACAATATTTTCAGGTATGAGAAGGGTTGAGTTTTCAAATAAGATCTGAAGATAAAATAAAGCTTTCAATGTTGTTAAAACGGACGACCAATGCCAAATAAAATTTGCTTATCATTAATGAACTGCATACTAACACATTTCACAAATTTTTACAATCACTATGAGACTTAGAGCTAGTAGCAAATAAATTACTTTGAATGAATCCTGCATTATTATCTCATGCTGCAGTGTTTATATGGCAGTACAACATTCCTATTCCCATACCCATACTGTTATGCTATTTAACCCTCTGACCTGCAAAGCTGTATATATATATATATATATATATATATGGCCTCAAAAACTTTTTGTGGAACCTTAAGGAAAGTATATATACATGCATAATGAAATATGTCCAAGAAATTAAGGCAATTTATTAAAAGCACATAAATTCAGTTTTAAGTTACCAGGGGCATTCTGGCATTAAAATTAAGAAAATATATCTTTCTCGTGACAATTCTAGGAAATTTGGCCTTTCTTAATGAAACTCCATGCCAGTCAGAAGGTTAATCAGTTAGAATAGACTGAAGAGTACCCCTTGTATTATCGCGAAGTTGTTGTTTCATTTATTGACAAGTTGTTTCATTTATCGCCAAGTTGTTGTTTCGTTTATGGTAACCTGAGAAGTTGAATGTTCCGTAAATATACTTTTACCTAGAAACTGGGTGCTCCTTTGACTTTTTAAATGAAAATATATCAATGTGTACATGGACAAAGTCAAGGGAGTGAGCAATGCCAAATTTGTTCTATTAACTGAATTTTTTTTTTTTTTAAATAGGTCAACGTGTATATGGATAAAGTCAAGGAAATTGTGCAATGCCTAGTTAAAGAGCTGCACAAACTCAGTATCCAAGTACCCGTAAATATACTTTTACCAGTTAATGAACCAAATCATCAATGGTAATCATAACTGACTATCTGATGACTTTTTGTCCTATCCGACTGCTAACTAAAATTACCAAAACTCAAGAAAAAGTTTTAAATAAAACCATTTATTAATACACTAAACTGATGATTACACAAACTGAAAGATTAACAGAAGCAAAACTCTATTCACTTGTAACACACATTTAATTTTGTGCCCTGCATTTGATGCAAAAAATGCAGGGCACAAAATAGTGCTTAATACTAGAATGGCGGTAGGGGTCATTTTGACCCTTTTACTTTTATCCTTCTTTCTGCTTGATGCATTGTCAAACAACCCATGAAAAACAATCACTCATAAGGATTTTTTGATTGCATTCATACTATTCCCCAGAGGGATAAAAACCTGGGTGGTCTCACTACTTTGTAATGTCTACATAAATTGTTGTTCCTTTGTTTGCAATTATCTATTCCTTTGAAGAAAATACTGCCAGGAAAGTAGATGCAGGGTTTTTCATGCTTACATTTCTTTACAGAAATAGTTTATTTTACAGATGTATTTTCCCGTTGCTAGTTCAGCTTACTTACTCAGGTGATAAGAGTTAGATCAGATGTTTTCTTAGTAATCCCAAATCAGTAT